TGCAAAATTCATTGCGCAAACATGTCTCGTAGATCCCGTGGCATAGCGGACAAATAATAAGCTGAAACCACTTTATCAGATTTATCACAATACAATACAATATACAGATATTCTGTAGATATTCTATGGATAATATCATTCTATAGACATTCTATAGTTATGATTAGTTATGCATATGTACCATCCTGCTTGGGGTGATGAAGAAAAAACTGAAGGACATATTTTTCGGATGAACTTTTTCAGCAAGCAGTGACCTGGTCGAATCTGTGAGCTGCAAGTGACATTCCAATTTGGCGGAGCCTGCTAAATCAGTATCACATGCCATATATATAATATTTGTGCCATATATATATATACACATACATACATTCTATATATTTCACACAGGATGATACACATGTACGAGCCATTATGATTCTGAGCCATATGTCCATACACAACCTTTTTTTTGAGGGCGGCACCCCGTGGGGGAGTGAATTTTCATTAAGAAAGATGATAAAACACTGTAAATACCGATGTTTTATGCATTTGGAGGGTTTAAAACCCTAGTACACGCACTTTTTTCATCATGATCTTGACATGAGATATACAAAAACATTAACAGGCACCAAAAAAACAAAAAAAACATCAGATCTTATGGCATGTTGTGCAGCAGATGTTTTCTGTTATGTGCTGATTGTTTGTAGTTCTTTGCAAGCCTCACAGGAAAAATTGAATCCTGCCACAAGAGTCTGTAAATGCCGGTGATTTATGACAGCATATGAGAGCCTTTGGAGGTGAACTCTATGTTTTGCTCTAAAATAACGGTTTTAAGCCCACTTTGGTCACAAAACACTGTAAATACCAGTATTTTTGATCATTTTTAGAGCAAAAATCACTCCCCCATGAGGGCCGTTCTGTTTTTTTTTGGGTCACATGTATTAAGATAAGTTATGACTCCCAAACCGAAACGTCTCCAGCTTGATGCCACGACCGCAGCTGTGCGGGTGACGGGCTGAATGCAGCCTGAGGGGGGAAAACGCGGTGACTTGATGGGTGTGGGGGATAGGGGGTAGGGTTAGGTCAACGTTTAGGTTCAAAACATGTTTTGACTGAAGGTCATGAATATTCAGTAGTAGTTAAACTTTCATTAACAAACATTGATATTCGTTTACGGTCGTTAATCATCTTTATAATTCGCCAAACCGATCCAAACCGTTAATATTTACTCATATTCGTTGATGATAATTTCCCTAACAATCATTAATATGCGTTGATATTCATTCGTATTAGTATTAATCAAAACTCATATGTGTTTTTTCATCACTGATTATATAATACTAATAATAGTCATTATCGTATCAATATTCACTCGTAATCATCAACACATGTTGGAAAAACATCAGGAGTTTCTTTAGACAAAGACTTTTCTAGATGGCCCCAATCCAACTTCATCCAACTTCTGCCCATGGATCTCCGGATCCATAAACGCGCATCGTTTTCTCGGTCGCTGGTTCGAAGCTTCACGAACTCAATGATGAAAACCGATACAAAAATTGCACACCCTCCCTGGGAAAGAATCGAACACGGTGATATTCAGCACCATAACTATCCATAGGAAGTAGAACGGAGCTTCACCAGATCAGCTTGCACCAAGGATGGCACCATTTTTCGGTGGCCCGTTTAATGAGCCAATCCCACAGCACCATGCCTTGCACAGACAGTTTCTTTGACAAGAGATTGATGGGGCATTTGGATGGCTTGGTCAGTTCCAAGATCTCCAAAGTTCCATACATCGCCATACATCAGCATTTTAAAACCAGGTCAGCTTGCAGGATTCCCAGCGTTTCCACGATTTCAATTGCGCATTGATGCAGCAACCATGGCTGGGTCCAACGCGCAAGCTTAGCGCAACAGGCTCGCCGCTTCAGTGAAGTCGGTAGTCAAAAAGGATCAAGGATGTAATTGTACAGTCAGAGAAAGCCAGGTAATTGTCCTGAATTCCATGAATTAGTGCAGAAGAGGCATGTAAATCCAGAGTCTTTTGATTGGCATGTCCGTGTTCCAATTATACACAAAAAAAATGAAAGGATGCTTGGAATTTGCGTGTGTTTGTGGTGGGCCCTGCCCCTTTCTCCACATCTATCCATCTGAAGTTCATTCTTGCAGGTTTTTGCAAAGAAAATTTGAAAGGAAATTGGCAGAAGAAAAGAAGGAATCCAAGATCTCACCATCCAAAGTTCATTCCTGCAGGTTTTCAAAAGAAAGCTGTGAAAGGAAATGGGGTGAGAAAAGAAGGAATCCAAGATCGACCATCCAAAAGTTATTCTCACCAGTGCCGTGCCAGGACAGCTGCGCAAAACTATGGATAGAATAAGTCTTAGAGCAATGAAAAGATTGACATTTTGAAACCATGATCGAAATTAAGTGTGTGTTTGTGGTGCGCCCTGCCGTTTCTTCCATTTCTACCCATCCAAAGTTCAGTCTTGCAGCTGTTTGAAAGGAAACTTTGAAAGGAAAAGGGGATGAGAAAGTGGGAATCCAAGATCGACCATCCAATTTCATGTTTTGTTGAGAAGAAACCTGTTAAGGGGGAAAGTACTCTGAGACAAAGGTACAGTTAGAAGGGTTTGAAAAGGAAAGGAAATAAACATAGTTTAGTATTGGGGTGAAAAACCATGTTTTTTTATTTTTTATTTTTTTAATAACACCCCTACAAAACCGGATTCTATCTACTCCAGGATGACTATCTATCTACCTATCTATCTATCTATCTACCTATCTACCTATCTACCTATCTACCTATCTACCTATCTACCTATCTACCTATCTACCTACCTATCTACCTATCTACCTATCTACCTACCTACCTACCTATCTACCTATCTACCTATCTACCTACCTACCTAGCTACCTAGCTACCTACCTACCTATCTATCTATCTATCTACCTATCTACCTATCTACCTATCTACCTATCTACCTATCTACCTACCTATCTACCTATCTACCTATCTACCTATCTACCTACCTACCTACCTATCTACCTATCTACCTATCTACCTACCTAGCTACCTACCTACCCTACCTACCTACCTACCTACCTATCTATCTATCTATCTATCTCTATCTATCTATCTATCTATATCTATCTATAGATTGGGACGTCTTATAAGAAGATTTTTGTCTGCTTATGACACCTCAAAATCAGGGATTTTCCTCAAATAAGACCCTACCAAAAATGACCTGCCCCAAAACTGACCCAGTAATAAGCAGATTCCAGGAATTTGGGAAAAGTGGTGGAATTGTGAATCTGCTTCTTACAGGTCAATCCCAAAAGGTGGATTGTTTTTTTCTTCTAAATATGTATATATAATTATATGTACTATATATATATGTGTGTGTGTGATAGTCCGCGATTTTATACAGCCAATAAATATTATAGTATTATGTGTACTGACTATATATATTATAGTATACCTAAATCAGGGACCAATAATGAAAAAGAAACAATGCTAAACCAATGCTTCTGGGGATGTGTTTAATGCTAGGGGGTGTTAGGGGGAAGGGACTGTACAATATATATAGGTGGTTCCAGGGCGTAGCCCAATAAATTCCAGGGCGTAGCCCAATAAATTCCAGGCGCAGGCGTAGCCCAATAAAATCTGCACGGTAACAATTACCTCAGTAGAAAATTAAACTGTAATAAGCAGATTTTGGATCTTTGGGGTATAAATGCATTTTGGACTGTAATAAGCAGATAAACCTCACGAGTGGTGAGGGTTTTGAGCAATCTGCTTGTCTGCTGGCAGTGGCATAAATCTGCTTCTTGGGTGTCCCCGTCTATATCTATCTATCTATCTATCTATATCTATCTATCTATATCTATCATCGAGCGAGCGAGCGAGAAGAGCGATCTAGAGATCTAGCGAGCGAGAGCGAGAGAGCTAGCGAGATAGCGAGATAGAATCGAGCTATGCGAGCTCTATCTACCTATCTATCTATCTACCTATCTACCTATCTACCTATCTACCTATCTACCTATCTACCTATCTACCTATCTACCTATCTACCTATCTACCTATCTACCTATCTACCTATCTACCTATCTACCTATCTACCTATCTACCTATCTACCTATCTTATTGGTACTAATAATATACCACTGACCCAGCAGTGGGCAAATCACCTCCCAGGAGGCGGATGCGGCCACAGGTCCTGATGCCAGGCAGGGAAAACCCTGGAAATTTAGGTTGAGAAGTGATGGGTTGCTGAAGGTTTCCTATGGATTTATCCACGATTTTAGTTTTGTGTTTTTTTACCATCAAAGATCTAAGGATGTATTTTGGTTGGTTGATGATTAGTTCGGGGCTTGTGCGACCCTTTTTATATTGAGGACTACTGAAGGTACTGGTTTTATTTCCAGGTGATGTATCCATTATTCCCACTTTGAGACGATATGGTTTTATCCTCGTGAACAAAATAGTTGGGATTTATGGATGTTCACCCCCCTGGTATCAGAAATTGAAAGCATCGCCATATCAACAAGTGGAGTCTGAAATCTTCAGAAAGTACTGAACATGTTAGATCCCAACTTAGGTGCGGTTTTCGAATGAACACTGAAACATTGGGGTCTGAATCATTGGATGAATGAACATCCCGAAATCAAGACTGAGCATTTGGTGTGTTAAGACATTTCGGGCTTCAATTTTTGATCCATACCCATGTGTGTAAGACACCTAACATCAATGTGGGGTATAAGTAATGATTTGAATCTCACTTGATGTAGCCCTAAGATGGATAGTGAGAGAGGGAGAGAGTCCAAACGATATGGGGTATGACCAACCACATGGGAATCACTTTGACAAGAAACAGGCTTTGGGAAAGGTTCGGAGATGCTTAGCCTGCCTTGATCAGACCGGTTCAACAGTTGTCATCGTTCCATGCAGGGATTCACCAGTGATCAACTCACCCCCAAGATCTGTCAGTACCAGCTCCATCCTAAGCAAAACAGGGCACCTTACCACCATGCGCAGCTTTGCCATGCGACCATGGCACCGTTGCTACAGATATCAGAGGCGGGTCATCCATTGCGGATGAAACGCGGCTGGATGGTGATGTTTCAACATAGTCAACCACAAATGTGCTGGAAACCAATAGTGAATAGTTGACTATCATAGCATAAGATCCTTGACCTATGTTAAATATAGTGGCCTATATGTTTCAACATAGTCAAACCACAGCCAAGCATAAGATTTTTTGAATTTGATAGTGGGCTCATGGGAAAACCCAATTTCAATGGTGGAGTTTCCAGCCATGTTTGTCTGAAGGAGCCTATAAATTGATGTTTTACTAATTTATCCCATGTTTGAGCACCCAATCTTGACCAAGACTTTACTGTACACTTCCCCCATCTTTCCCAACTTGTTGATGTTTTTTTCATTGAGACCCTGAATCGTGCAGTGTCTGCAGAGGCCAGCAATGCGATGGGCAAGCACTGCAGTAGCCAGAGTGGCAGAGCCGTATTGCTGGAGGCAGAGGGGCTTGGTCTTCCGTTTGTAGATCTTCCCAGCAATGTTTGTTTTTCATTGCCAGGTGTCTCTACTGGAGGGGATCCAATGCAGTACCTATACTGGAAAGCAAATCTATATAGTATATAATCTATATGGATATCTATATAGATGTTGAGTAGTAGTTATGACTGTTTCAAATCGCGTTCGTTTTGCGTTTCATATTTGGTCTTGCCCTGGCTCTTTGCTGGTCAAAGTGTGCCACGGTGCTTGGGGCAGCTGTAGACTCCAACACAAACAAACTGGGCAAATGACCATCCCACAGTCTCCGCGGTTCAACTACCCGCTGGTAATTTAACATAGCTATTGAAAATGGCCATTTATAGTGGATTTTCCCATTAAAAATTGTGATTTTCCATAGTTATGTTAGTTTACCAGAGGGTAACTTTCTGTTCTATAGTTCATTTTCCATCTACATCCATCTACTTTCTATTTCTGCTATGACTTTTTCAACTCTTTTCCAATCGATTTTCTATTCTCCCCACATTTCTTGACAGTTCTTTGTTTGGGATGATTCCCAGGAGCCTCTTCGGCGCCGCCGCGGCCGTGGCGCTTCCACTACTGCACCAGCGTGTGGAGTGCGACCAGCACGATGCGACCATGCAGGAGGGACCACCAATTCCCCAGAGGCATTAATTCAGATATATTAAGATATAGAATCCCATGATAAATCATCATAATCCCATGAAATCCCATGATAAAATCATCATAATCCCATGAAATCCCATGATAAAATCATCATAATCCCATGAAATCCCATGAAACCCCTTTTCTATTCCCACTAGGCTCCGGTATTCAGCTCCATGGCCAGCCGGGAAAATTCTTCATTTATAGATGAGGAATCCTCCATTGTCACCTCCGGATTTTGCAACATCCTCTTTGATTAATTTGGGGGTACCGCTACATTCTGCCACTAGACGTTTCAGTACCCTCCCCAAATGATCAACAGCCCAGGTTTTGTTTCTAAAAGTCCGGGGGTTGACATGAACACACACACAGACATACACACACATATATATATAAATGGACCAATAAAATGTGGGTCCTGGAATGGGTTCAGTCCCTATGCAGCATGATGCTCTTATTGTACTTCTGATTCGTCGCCACTTGGCGAGGGAGGATCATATGTCCCCTGAAATCAAATCCCATTGGGTGGAAGAATGATGTTTGAAACTTATCTTCTAGCTTTAGCCCAGTCACTCGTTGATGTAGACATGTATAGATTGATGATCATCTCACAATATCTCACAATCATATGAATCAATCATGATTCAGGAACAAACTCTACAGCACTAAGTTTCACAAAATGAGAGTCTCTTCCCTTTTCACCCAGGAGTGGTGGACGGACCCGGCGCAGTGCTCCGACTTCTGCGGCCAATGGCGCCGCACCTGGAACCCCGACTGGGACGGTCGCGCGCCGCCCAATGGGGAGAAGATGAAGGCGGTGGGCGCCATACGGCACCTGCGCCTGGGCCTGTTCATGGTACCATGGTGGTACCGTGGTACCCTCCCAGGTCGTTGTTTTTTGGGGTTTGCGAAGTGGAAAGCCACCATGGTTTGGAAAGGTTGATCAAATTTAATGTGCCATTTAAACCATAGTTTACTAAGTTTACTATGACATTATTGTGAAATTACCAGGGTAGATCGGGTAGATATGTGGATCTAGTCCTGTCATGAATATCATCCCCAAGTACCAACACTATAATTCTATATGTATATATATATATTGTATAATTGTGTGCTATCATAGGTCCCAAGTTTGACCATGATAATGATACCCAAAATATTGCAAACACCAAGTTGCGGATGATTTGATTATTGGTGAGGAATCCACTCGAGGTAATTACCATTTTCATATGGCGAAGTTGGTAACCCATCGTCCAAATCCCAAAGAATACACGATTACACCATCATCGCCCCTGTTAAAATCCCATTAACTCCGGCATTTTCATGGTAAAATCCAAGTTTTTGTTCCATAAAGTTCAAGTTGTCCTCATTTTTTCCAGTTTTTTTCCAGTTTTTCGGTGTTTTCCCAGGTTTTCTCCAGTTTTTCCGTCCCTTTTTGGGGTCATGGATGGCCTTCCAGGCTCTTCGTCCGCCATGGCCAGTACGACCTGGACTCCGAGGAGCACGGCCTGACAGAGCTGGGCCGGAAGCAGTCGGAACGCCTGGCGCAGCGCCTGGTCACCGACCGGCTGACGCCCAAGAAAGACCGCTCCCTTGGCGGAACGCGGAGCGAAGGGGACGACCTGACCTTTTTTTTGGATGGGATATAGGAATACACACATATCTATCTATCTATCTATCTATCTATCTATATATATATATATCCATATTTGTGTGTATGATAGATAGTATATAGTATATATATATATATTTAAGTGTATATTTGTAGACTAATGGTTTTGAATACTTTGGATGGTTATTATATATATATATATATATTGGAACTCATAATGATAGGCATATAGTTTACAAATTAAAAAATATAACTCCAAGCTCGGAATGGAAGCAGATCAGCAGACAGGATGATTTTAAGCAGACAGTGCAAAACATGGGCGTTTCTACAATGTGCACGCCTTCACCCCCCCTCATCCTCCTTTCTGATATATATATATATAGTAACATTGAATGATATAGAGAATTTATTGGGAGATGGGATGGACATGGAAATTGTTGGAGCCATTGGTGTATGGTACCAATCTCCGGCGAAGGAGCTTCGACTGGAAAATCTTATGTGAATTGATGATGATCAGATTGGGTAGTAATAATGGATGATCTTGGATGATCGGGGAGTGGCAAATTGGAAAATATGGGGTACATGAGAATGATATTGATGTTAGATGAAGATGAAGATGAAGATTATGATGATGATGATGATGATGACGACGATGACGATGACGATGACGATGATGATGATGATGATGATGATGATGATATGTGGTGGTTCTGATCCTCCATGATATTGGGCATTGATAATGCTTATACTTCTACATATATATATAGTCACATGGGAGCTGATCATATTCTACAATGTGGTGCATCCCAAACAAGATCAAGGGTCAGGCCATTGGCTCACGCAAGGTTATGGCGTGATCCAGGTGCAATATGCGGGCATCTGGGTAAGCAACGTCACGCGGGCCATTCAAACTGCTCAGAAACTGGTCAGCAGCCACGGAACCCGCATTCTTGGGAGATCATATTTAGAGTAGCTACTGCAAAACATGGATGGGATAGAAACGATGAAACAAGTAGTAGATGGACGCATGACTCAAGAACACCCATTAGTAGTCTAGCAATATTGTAAGCTGATGGCGATGGAGGGAGAGAGAGAGAGAGAGAGTACCAACACTTTGAATGACTAAGAAAAAAATGCCATTCTAATGCGATCATGGACAAATCCTTTCAAACTAGAGGATGTTCCATTACCATAAATAAAAGAGTACCAAAGGCCATTCCTTACCACCTGAAGGTAGGCTCCACCCGTGAAGTCTTCCGCCCAATTTCTCTAAAACCACCCGAAGGTGCCTTGGATCACTTGATTTCCTGGAGATTTTTGGATTGGACCCCCCAAAATTTCCCCCAGTGGTACCCACGGCTTCGCGAGGATCTTGGCGGCGCACTTGCCGGACGTGCCGTTGAAGGAGCCTGATCCATTACTGGCTGAGGGCAAACCTACACAGCCACATCCCAGTTCATCACCCTCGAGGCTATCTGACCTTTGGGAGGCACAGATACTCCTGGGGGGTCGGTGGATATTCGAGGATGGGTCTAACATCCCAAAAGCACAAATCCATCCTGATTCGGATTCACAACGAAGCTCGGCAATAGCGGTGGCGCTTCGGAGGGGGAATCATTCCTACTTACAGATATCTTACAGATGTTTTCCTTTTTTTCTCCGGCTTGCTAAATATCACAAGTGGCTTGGCGTGGTTTTGTCCCTCAGGGCCCAAAAAAAGGCCATTTCTGCACAGCTGCGCCCAATGTGAGTCACATGAAATCACAACCAGCCTCCGCTTATTTGGACAGGACTCGGTGCGCATGGAGGCGGGCTTCCGTAAGTATGTGCATCGGGAAGTGGACTATAAGAGATTGGCGGACAAGGAGAAGAGAAGGAAGAAGAAAGAGATGCCTCGCAGCAGTTGGGTGATTCGGAAAACCCCCCAACAAACCATGAATACAGTAATTAGTGAAGGCTAACAGGGTGAGAATACAAAAAATGTGATGATCGTGGCATCGTGGTGAATTGCCGGATGTCCAGTTTTAACAGTGGGATCTCCGGAGGAAGATGATGCAATTTCCAATGCAATGGGATGTCTTACCCAGGAGCAGATAGAACATCCAATTTGAACAATCTCAATTTAAAATGATTTCAGGGATTTTTTTAAGGGCAATGATCGTGGCAAAATGGACATTTATTGAAATTTATCGGGGGTGTCAGGATGGCACAATGCCATCCCAAGCATCTTGGATATATTGGGCTGTGCACCCCCCTAAGGGAAAACGCCTCGATATTGGTGGTTTGCTTATTGTCCCTCTCGTTGATTCACTGATTAAGGTATATCATGTTGTAATGATGTTATATGGGACCCCATATGTGCAAATGGTTTTATATTTCTATATTGTGGGATGGTTATCAATCCATTATATATCCATTATATATCCATTATATGGGTTGGGATTCATGATATGGATTGGGAATCATTGTATATCCATAGAATGGTTATCAATCAATCCATAGCAATCCATTATAATGTTGGGGTTCATTCACCCATTCTAAGAATTCCCACCATGGGACGGACAATGACACTGGCAGCTGAGGAAGGAGCTGGGAGATGGCATCTTGTCGAACTCCAGTTGAATCCACTTAAATCTTTTGCAGCATAGATACTCTAGAGTAATTATACGTATATATATATATATGATTGTACATATGTATATGTATATATTTACTTATATTTTTATGGAACGTGGCGATGGTTAATTTCCCCATTGTTTTGATGTTTAGCCCATACTTTCTCATTGGAAGTTACGCAATGTTAAGTTACCGCAGGATAGGGGATATGATCACCCAAACTTTTTGGAGATAAACTCGAACACTGAGTGTTCATATTTGATTATACATATACACACGTATATATTTACATATCAATGCTCAAATTTCACGGTTCACAAATACAAATAGAGCTAACCTTCTATGCCATGTGTGGATAAAAACCAATGGCTTTCAGCGGTAAAATTTCCCACCAAAACCAATCTATTGAATATATTGATAGTTAAATCATGTTAAATCCCAATTTATTGGGTCAAAATTGAAGCATTTTGGGTTCAAATCTCCCGTTCTTCACTCCAAATTGGTGCAAAAAAAATCCCAAGTGGCGCCGCAACCGGCCGTTGCCGTTGCGGCAGGTTTCGTCCCCGATGGCGCGACCATCCCGGAGCCCAAAGCGGAGGACGCGACAGCGGAGCCCAAAGGCAAGGAGCCGGAGCACATCTACGAGATCTATGTGCCGCGGGGAGAAGACACGGGGTCAGTTGAGGGAAAATCGGAAGTCAGGGGAAAGTCTAGTCAAGTGAAAAAAAACAAGTCAAGTTCAGGGAAAACTATGAACAAAGTATCAATAAAATGGATGGACGTGCAATTTTTGTGACAGTAGCAGTGAAAACGATTGAACGCTGCCTTTTTCTCAACCTATGGGATCAGGGAAAAATCGATCCGTGTCTTTGGGTACGAGCTCCTAAATGTATCCAAATGGTGGGAACAACTTTCCACGATGTTACTAGTTCGTACTTCATATCTTCCTTCAGGTGTCCACTGTTGCTGTTCCTTTTTTTGGTGCTTACTGCTAAATGTTGTATATACATATATAGTATATATAGTGATATATGGTGTGTGATATATGGGGCCTTAAGCTACGAAAAGGTAGGATAAAATATTGTGAACCAACTATATGAGGGCGTTTGATGAACAAGAATGCAAAAAAATGCAGGTGTTCAACACTTGAGCCCACCCCCAAACCAGGAAGGTGTCTTTGATTTCATTTGTAAAAAGAAACAGTTTGTGTTGGATCAATCTAGCTAGCAAGGTGTGAAATTTTCTGCGATCCCTATCACTTTCATGAATTCTTTCATATCCCCACCCGACAATGAGACCAGGGAAAGCTGGCCGCTGGCCCCTGGCCCTTGCAGCTTCTGAGGGTCTCCACAGTTCACGGAGAGAGTTTTTGTGGCTCACAGCTACTCCAACTAAGAGTGATAAAGAATAGCCAGAATAGCCCTTGCTTCTTAGCATATTTAGGCATCAGGCTTTTTCACCAACACACTGAACCATGAAGTCAGTATCCATGGGTCGTAAGATGTCGTACCCCGATGGGCCCCCAACATCCAAACCTAACTGCCAGTTGCTCACCCACCTGCCCACAGGTGTGCCATATGAACATCATTCGCTACTTCGCAGCTTGGCAGTTTTAAGTCACGGTGACCATGGCAATTGAAATCCTAAACTTCACATTGACAGGATATGACTATAGCATACTATAGCGGCTATAGGTGAGTGCATTTCTGGGCGCAAGTCCAGCCCCTTGTTTGTACGTAATCAACCAGTTTTGACGGACCCCCATCAGCAATTTGTCACAGATTGGGGGGACCAAGTTGCCCACAAGCTTTCTTCAGAGACAAGCAGAGGTGTTGTTTAGACTCCACTGATATAGGTTATTTGTTGTAAGTTCCGCGTTTCTTCACATTTTGCGCATCCCCAGAAGTGTTTCTTCAGGTTTCTTCTACCCTCTTGTGCTGATGTATTGGTTTACATATGCAAGTTCCACCACGCATTCTGGTCGGCCAAGCTCACCTTCCAATGTTTAAACATGTTGGCTAAGATGTCTTGATTTACAGTTGACGTAAAGATGCATGGGCCCCAATTTTCATTTCACATCATTTCACATCACATTAACACTGCATTCACATCCGTATCCAATGTATATCCGTATTAACACTACTTTTCTATAGGACATTTCAACACACCATGTGCTGCCTTCAACCTTCCACCGATGTTCCCATTGCCGCAGCAGGTCATGCGTGCCCTACAGCTGCCACCGGAGGCCTGGCTTCGACTCAGAGGTGATAACACCAACATCACCGAGCGACTGGGCTTCGATCATGGGATGATGGGGTTTGTTGTGAAGCCTCTATGATCTTCTGGGATGATCCTGGGATTGATGGATGATGTCTATTGATGTCTGACATTCAATTCTTTTTGAATTCAGTTGATCAGATCAAACTTCTTCCCTGATCAGTCTAATAGGATCCGATCACTTGTTTTTCTTGCGTTAATTCTATCTTTATTGTTATCCCTTCCGGTGCCAGAAATCGGCAACCTTCGGCAACCGTGCATCCGATGATGTTGATCTCAGGATCGTGGTCCACCCAGACGGGACGCTTGGACCAATGGTCAGCATATGTTGATTTGTCGATGCTACTGGTTTTAACATGTTTTAGCCCCAGAGAGACCCAGGTTGGAACATCTGTTGGACCATATGTAGGATATGTAGGGGGAGGACATGGACCGCAGATGATGGCAGGAGGACATCAGAAAATTCATCGCCAGATCTGCACCGAGGCGTGTCAGCTTGCATCGCTTTGGAGACATCGGACATTTGCCACTGGACATGGTCACCTTCCACTGACGACTTGGCTCAGCACTATCTTCCACCGAAATACATGGATTCATTCATTCGCTTTCACCACCAAGTTTGGGAGGCAAAGAACTTCCACCCTTGGACTGTTGGAGCAGCGAGAAAAGTCAGGGCTGCTCGACTTGGTGCAGCTTGGACATGACATTTCTATACATAAGTCATTTTCCCGACCACGGGCAGCAGTAGCATTTCCGGACACATGAACCCCGTCCCCAAGAACCCGCTCCATGGAAGACCTTGCTTGAATTCTAACATCAGGGATGGATCATGGGCTCTAAAAATAAGGAAGTGGAACCCTATCATATATTTTTGTCCCCCTATCATATCACATACCCTATATATCCCTACATGATTATCAAATGGAGAATATTTTTGGTGACTGCCCAGCGGTTTTCCTTTAGGTCATCCCAATCGGACTCTTACCACTGGAGAAAACCGCTGGGGGCTGGGGGTTTGGTCCGCTGCAATGGCCAGGTCTCAGACGGTCTCCCTCCTGACGTATTGCATGATATTTTTTCACACCCTGCGCACAGATATACACAGATACTCCGGGAGAAAGCACCCCACTTGAGCGTAGTGTGGTGAGCCGGTGGTCAGCCGCATGTCATTTCGAAATCGATTGTGGCCGTTTCACCTACAAACCATCCCCAATTGGAGAATCGACACTGAATCCATTGGACAGGCGCGTGGCAGCCGCGTGGGCTGTGCCCAACAAGCACACTTGGAGCAGGCTTTGGCGGATCCTTGCCTCAGTGGGTCGGTAGTGACCATATATATATATAATTATATATATAATATATTATATAATTATATATATAGAGAGAGATAGAGATATAGATATAGATAGATATAGAATGATATAGATAGATAGGTATATATATATAGATATATTATATGGACGCACACCATTATTTTTTTTTGCATGCCTTTGTCCATGTAAAGATACACTTTATCATTTTGAGGTTGGTAAGGTATGGTAGCTCATCAATTGATCTGTTTCTCGACCCTACTTGGGTTAAAGCATGTTAAAACCACCAACCACAACACCATACTGTAACACTTCTAAGCTATGCGTGAGAAAAGCATTAAGTGCGGAAGCACAATGATAATGAACTTTCTCTTTTTAACCATAAAAAAGAGTATGGGGGGCATTTTATGTTTCTAGTTTACTTACCACTGGCTGCCAATAGCTCCAAGCCCATCCAAGCCCTGGGTTACCAAGGACACCGCCCAGCTTCAAAGTCAAGCAGATGCCGCACTCGAGCGAATGACAAGGCGCCCTGAAGTTTTAGTTTCCGCACCATGGGCACTTGTATCATGTTTGATCAATGGATACAATCCAGCTTTGTTTGGGCTAGTTTGGGCATTTCGAATTGCGCATGAGCTTGGCTTCGGCACAGAACTGTACATCAACCTGCAGGCCTTTCCCACCATCCCCGTGTTTCAGCCACCTCACATTGAATGCATGTTGGATGAACGGCAATCAATTGATCATTGGTCGTAACCCATCGTTGATCTCTGGCGTCGGACTCAGGCAGAGTAGGGCCCTGAAACGGATTCCAGTGACCTGTCCCTCCTGTGGCACGCTGAATGTGGGCCCAGCGCTGTTGGGACACAGAGACAAGGCCTGGTGGGGTAAAGATTCAATGAAAAAGATTCAGATGGGCTGAGGAGGAGGAGAAGGATGATGAGAAGAGTGATGATGACGACGACCTTGAATGAAGATCTATTAAGATTTTTGAGGTCACCTCCCTGTGGTAAGTATTTCAGGACAATCCTACCATTGGTGACATCACAGGGGGTTGTTTTGTTCTGGAAAAATGGTATCAAACAAGTGTCATCAAGTGACCGTTGCCTCGCAAGCAAATCTGCTCGTGTTTAGACTTGGAGACATAGGTGTCGATAAAGCTTCAACAGCCAGTGCAGGCACACACATTGAACAGAATCGAGAAGTACTGTGGCATACGCCACATGGGGTCATTATTTGCGCAGAATATTCCGCTATCGTTGACTTGCGCAGATGTGATACAAGTATACAAAAGTTGGACTATTGAACTTAGGTACTGTATATCTAGAAACATCTAGACACTCTCTTTCAACGGCCAACACACTTGCAGATTTACACTAGAAAACATCCCGCTTGCTGATTTCACATGTGTGCCAGGTGCCAATGTCGGATTCCACATGGAGCGTTGGTGATTTGGTGCCATGTCAGGAGTGCAGTTGGGCCTCAGTCTTCTCCTTCGGTTTCTATGCTGGAAAGATGCGATTGGCAAACCCAGGGATGGAATATGATGGAATGCAAGAACCAGATTGATGCGAACATGTATCTTTGGTGCGTCACTTTGTTGTTCTAGATGTTGATGCTGCACGCAGCGCTTGATTCTTCAGCTCTCTTTGATCTCTTTGGAAGATCACGTGGACGCATTTTGATGCCGTGTGGCTCTAAAATTTGGGAACCCAAGCAGCAAGGAGAACTCTCCTGGTGCTGAAAACTGCCGTGAAGCGGCTGCGCGACCAAGCGGGCCGGCCCAGCTGGGAAAATTACCGTGGAGGTTCATAAATTTCATAGACTTACGACTACTTGTACACACACACACAGAATAAAAAAAACAAATCAATAAATAAATAAAAATAAATAAATATATATATATATATTGTGCATTTATAGACAATAGTTTTATTTTCATTACGTACAGTATCATTTTTAAAATGTAATGGCAATTAAATTGAATTGTCATCATCTGGAACCATATCAGCACCACCAGAGGATGGAGCCATTCTTAACTGCCGCGCCAAGGAGCCGGGCTCTTTTATTCGAGGTTTTTTGCCCGGCGGCACCGCAGGACTGCGACTGGTGAAGTGCTCCAGTTAATAAGCATTACCCCCTGGTAAATAAACATAGACCCTGAAAATCACCAATTTTTAATGGAAACTAGTCTTCCAACCCCTATCTGCCAGGGTCTATGTTAATTTACCAGAGGGTAATAAACCCATTAGAACCATGGTTGTTGGTTCAGATTTTCAGATTCGCCTCAAAGCCTAATTGTTGAGGCGGTCGCCTTTGTGGGATGAACCATGGTTTGGCTTGGTTCCGAACCACCGAGAAAGGGATGTTCCAACGAGTTGGAATCAGAATGGATCCAGAGGACACGGAGCAACCCGAGAGGCTTGGAGCTGTAAGGTGTGTCCCACTTTGCGTATGGGTCAACGATGTCAACGTTTGGAATTCCCCTAGAGGGACGAGAACCAATGAGCTTCCAGAAATGATAGAAATGGAAGCGGCATTCGAACATGTGGATGGTAGCAGACACCCATCACTCAGGATGACTGACTGACCATAATGTCAAACCTTCTCAATTTGTGAAATACGCTCTATAGATATGCTTTATGGGTATCTCCAATTCAGGTACCTGAAATTGTAACTCTCAATTGCTAGTTCTGTAGGCCCCCTAACTGGGATACTCCCATTCCATTACTAGGGTCCAGGGTACAAACACCACCCGTACTGATCAGTTCCACCGGGCAATACCCGCCATCGTGAACCATAGTTACTCGTCAATGTGGTAAACCCTAAGCCGACCCCCCCCAATGTTATATAGTTCTTTGGTTTACCACATTAGTCAGTTCCGGGCCACACATTATTATCCACCATTATATCCGTGCTTATGGTTGTTGGACCAGTTCCTAAATGTCCAGATTTCATCAGATTTCTCTAATTTTACCAACATGTCCATACTTTTTCCTTCAACCAATCCATTTGACCCACCAAACCTCCCGTTCATTCGGAGGTGTTGCACCGCTTGCGCCAAGACCTCCCAGACCGGCGTGTGCGGAAGCAGGAGCGTGCCGCTCTGAGTTTGTTTTCTCGTTCCCTTCCGATGCTTTGTCTCGTTCATGTGTGTTGCAAATGCTGATTGATTACTATTGGATGATGAACTCAACATTTTTTTTTGCACATCCAGCGAGATATTTGCACCTATCACACAATCAAACATTGTATATATATAAACAATCATTATCCAGCAGCCACAGGACCATTTCTTAAATGTTGTGAAATGATCTACATGCACTACACCTGCTTTTGTCATCAGAAAGTGGGTCTTAAAGCAGCAAAGCCGGGAATACATGACACATGGTCTCGCTATGTCTCGCTGGGAAGTGGCGATGGCCCAAGTCGTACAAGCACAACTCAGGGCCGTTCTGCCCAATGCAGCGATGGCAAATCATGGCAAATTATAACATTTTTGCAGATGTATGAGAGAGTGCACAAAGAACCATGGAATCATTTGCGAATTCCTAGAGTTGAAGCATCTTTTAGAGATTGGCTCGTACCTGACACTAGACACCCATAGACACCCAAGATCACCCAAGGAATCGGCTTAGACAATCTTAGACACCTGAACATTCCGATGTTTCTGAGGCGGTTTCAGAAGGTTTCCACCCCAGCCCCAACTGGGCCTCCAGGTAGCCCTTCAGCCCCGCACGTAAACCCGCGATGGAACCATGGCACCCCGTTCGGCGAGGGAGCGCCGGGAGCGGCGTGGGCAAGGAGCACCAACGGACTACAGGGGCTGCATTACTTGCTTCTTCATGTGCACTTCGGACTATATGATAGGATATATATGGATTATATATATATATATGTATATAATATGTCTCCATATTTATATATGGATATATATATATATTTCTATGGATATATTTGGATCAGTTTCTGGCATGATACCTTTTTACTACTGCCGGATCATCTCGAACTGGGATTCAAATTAAAAGTAAGAAACTGACGTGACATGTTAATTTCAAGATTTTCTGCGGTGGGTTGAGCCAGCCGGGTTTGACATTGTATTTCCCATTATCATCCGACACTTGAGTCTCGCCTGGCAATGTGAGATGTTTCAGATATGACAACAAGTTTCACATGATCAGATATGAAGTTATTAAGGGTTATTAAGGTATATTAAGAACAAGCCATCAACACATGTCCCCACAAGCCGGCCAGCCGTTTTGCAGGTAGCATCGCTCTGTTGGCATCCATTGGTTCCTTCTACTTCTCCAGTGACGACCTGGAGCCGGTGAAGCAACGTCAGCGATCAACTCCGCGGCCCAAAGTGGCTGCAGCGCCAGAGCCGGTGGCGATGCCGGTGGAAACGAGCGCGAGCCCTCCCAGAACGCACGAAGCGACGACTCTTGCCACGACAGAAGTGACCACGAGCACTTCACCAGTGGAAGCGGTGCCGGAGCAGTGCAAGACAGTTGCCTTCCTGAGAATTCAGAAGCTGCTCGATTTGGATGATTATTATAGGTAGATATTATTTTATTTCTACCTGGTGGTTTCAAAGAGGCCCCCCACCATCCCATCCCAGGGGTCCCAGGGGTCCGTTTGGGGTCCGCCTGTTTTGAGGACTGCGTCCACCACCTTTGGACAAGAGATTATGTCCAAAATGTGCGGCAAACATCATCAGCAATGCTCCCAAGCTTGGGAGCACTGCAACTTTGGGAGGAAGAAATGCTCAGTGGAACTCTACCAATACCACTTGGAACCTTGGATATCTTGGATTATACAATTCAATGGGAATGTGATATAATGCCATTGCACCCTGCAAGAAACATGAACAATTAACCAGAAGTTCAGGTCACCAACACCGAAAAACTGCACCTTCAACCATTGGTTCCCCCTAGTCACTACACCCAGCCTATTTGTTTTTTGGACAAGGGTTGCATGTTTCAAAGAAACGCCTTCAGGAATACAACAATGCCAAGCAGTTTACCAAGGGACAGGGACGTGGCTGCATTGTGACGATTTTCCGGGATCCGATTGAACGGGTGATGTCCGAGTACTTCATGCTGAAACTGAAGCATCGGCCCCTTGTCGGCACCCGTGGTGGGCCACTGTTGATGTGGGTCAGTTGCGCGAATTTTTTGGAATGAACGGAATCCCTTTTTTTTGGCTTGCGGCCCCAGTTCTGCAGTTCCAATGCTCCAGGCAATTTCTGTCCTTTGACCAATGGGATGTACATGAAGATGACATTCCTGAGATAGATGCCATTCTGAGCATGCCAGACATCTCCGAGTCCTTCCAGAAATATTTGCATCATCCGCGAAATCCATCAAGAAACCTGGAATTTCCTGGCATTTTTCCTTTTTGCCCCCAAAGGCCCCTGAAAGTGCAAGGCTTCCTTTGACTGTTTCCTGCCACTCCGCAAGGTACACCCATTCAAATCCATTCAGGCGTTTCCTTAAACTTCCGGAAAATACCCTCCTCGAATAGATCCAAACAGTCCATATTCTAATACTGGTTTTGTGGGTCCACCCAAGTGCTGGCACCACATTGCGATATTTCAATTCATATCAACATTCTTTTTCCCCACCTGCCAGGTGAGGGTTGTTAGATTTTATCAGAGTTGTTCTCCTCCTCCTCCTTCCTCCTCCTCCGCGTCCTCCTCCTCTTCTACCACCTCTGCCTCCACTTCCACGTCCACTGTTGCCTTGCCAACTCTTGGCCAGGCTCTTCGCCAACTTCGGAGCTCAGTGCGCACTGCTGGACGTCAACCTGGGACCTTCCCAGCTCAGTGCGCGCCGCTGGACCTCAACCTGGGACCTTCCTAGCTCAGTGCGCACCGCTTGACCTCAACCTGGGACCTGTCGAGCTCAGCGCGCACCGCTGGACCTCAACCTGGGGCCTTCCGAGCTCAGTGCGCACCGCTGGACTTCAAAAGCCAGATAGAATGCCAGAAGATATGCCAGATATTAGAATGTCAGATAGAATGCGAGAAGAAATGCCATAAGATTTTCCAGATGATATGCCAGAAGATATGCCAGATAGAATGTTAGAAGATATGCCAGATAGAATGCCAGAAGGTATCCAGATAGAATGCCAGATAAAATGTCAGATAGAATGCCAGAAAATATGCCAGATAAAGTGCCAGAACGTTTGCCAGAACATATGCCAGAAGATTTGCCAGATGATATGCCAGAAGATATGCCAGATAGAATGCCAGAAGATATGCCAGATAGAGTGCCAGAAGATATGCCAAAACATATGACAGAAGATATGCCAGGTAGAATGCCAGAAGGTATGCCAGATAGAATGTCAGATAGAATGCCAGAAGGCATGCCAGATAAAGTGCCAGAATGTTTGCCAGAACATATGCCAGAAGATTTGCCAGATAGAATGCCAGATAGAATGCCAGAAGATTTGCCAGATAGAATGCCAGATAGGATGCCAGAAGATATGCCAGAAGATATGCCAGAAGATATGCCAGATAGAATGTCAGATAGAATGCCAGAAGATATGCGAGATAAAATGCCAGAAGATATGCCAGATAGAATGCCAAAAGATATGCCAGATAGAATGCCAGATAGAATGCCAGATAAAGTGCCAGAAGGTATGCCAGATAAAGTGCCAGAATGTTTGCCAGATAGAATGCCAGAAGATTTGCGCCGGATAGGATGTCAGAAGATATGCCAGATAGAATGCCAAATAGAATGCTAGAAGATATGCCAGATCGAATGCCAGAAGATATGTCAGATAGAATGCCAGAAGATATGCCAGATAGAATGTCAGAAGATTTGCCAGTAACAAAACATATGCATTCATGGTGGGGATCACACGAAGTAAAGGAACAAATTTTAAAGCCGTATTTGAACATTTGAGATATGTCAACATGTACGAACATATTTTCACAGTTTTGCACATACTCTAGGATCTTTTTCGACATCACTATCCGTTCAGGAAATCGGCAGACGCTCTATCTCTTGGGTTTCCCACGTGTGGCCTGCAACTCCAGCCGTTGCGGAGGCAACGCCTGCATTTGCGACGCCAAGCAACCGGGCTATCCCGCGACCCTCTACGACTGGGAAGCGAATGGGACGGCCTTGCTGGAAACTGCCAAGGCGCACTTGCGTATCTTGGGTCCAACATGGTCCAACATGGTCCAAGATAGGAAAAGGTGGGAAGATGAAGGGACCTGCAATTGTAGGTAGAACATGGTAGAAATGCTATTAATTTGTAAGTAGAAGATGGATGAACATGGTAGAACTATATAGCTATTTGATGCTATTTGAAGGATGGTAGGTAGAACTGGTGGAAAATCTGCAATCAGCCCAGGCTGGTCCTTTTCTCAGAACACCTGAAAAACATACAGAATGTCTAGCAAGAATTGATTTTGAACAGATACTCAGATTGGCTACACCAGATACAAAGATACGCTAAGATACACCAGATACATCAATGGCCATGGATCTGTTTATGCACCAAATGTTAAAACATGTTCGCTGCAACCCTGGCGTTGCGCCGCGTCCGACTTCAGGTGGATATGAAGATAAAGTTGATGTTATTACCCCAATCAACATACTGTTCATAGGGGGTGGCGAATTTTGATCCCTTATAAAGAAAAAGTTGATATTATTACCCCAATTACCATATTGTTCATAGGGGGTGGCGAATTTTGATCCCTTATGAAGACAAAGTTGATGTTTTTAGTTATTACCCCAATCAACACAGGGGTGGCAAATTTAGATCCCTCATCAAGATAGGGGGTGGCGAATTTTGATCCCTCATGGAGATATAGTTGATGTTATTACCCCAACCAACATATTGTAAGTTGATGTTATTACCCCAGCCAACATATTGTTCAGAGGGGGTGGCAAATTTTAATGCGACGATGATCATGCTGTGATGATGCGATGATGCGGTTATGATGATGATGATGATGATGATGATGGTGATGGTGATGGTGATGGTGATGATTGCAAGTGTGGAGCAACGTCCGGGTTGGGGCGAACATGTTAAAACCAATCTGGACATCTGGGGGGTGTCTTTTCTCCAAAAAGTGGTAATTACCCCAAGCCTCCAGTTTTACCATAGGATTTTCATTGATTTTCCATAGGATTTTCATGGATTTTCCCAATTTTCCATAGGATTTCCCATAGGATCCATGAAATAAACCAGCTACCAGGGGCCCTGAAAAAAGGAACCCGACCCAGTGGCCCAGGTTCCCTGGACGCCTTTGGCCTGGTGGAGTGCTTCAATGAATCTGTCCAGGCAGGTATCCAAATAGTGAGATAGATAGATAGACTGATTGATTGATTGATTGATTGATTGATTGACTAAACACACTTCCATATATAATCATATATATATATAATTATATATATACATGTAGATATATATATATATATACACATATATATATCTGTGTGTGTGTGCAGAGGATATGTTGTGCATTCCTATGCCGCAGAACGATTGTCATTGACTCATATCCAGGTGATTGCCAACACCTTGGGCTGGGACTTGACGATGGCTCTGAGCCTAGCGCAGAACCAGGCGCTGCATGTACCTTGGCGTGGCGGGTTCCCAGCGGAGTTTGGAGATTTAACGGCTTAAATTGGAAATCATACCACTTTCATCCAGACAAGGTTTCTGAGTTTTCCATACAATTCACAGTTTGTTTTTTTGTTCTGTTAATGTACTATTTCAATATTTTGAAATATTATATCGTTATAACACATTATAACCATTACTTATCATACTAATATGTTATATGTCCATATGTATCCTGGAATTTCAGCCATGGAGATCAAGAACCCACCCGAGGTGTGGAAACCCACCATGGAGAAGGCGCGGGCGATTCGGAGCTCGTCCGGCGCCAGATCCGCCGCCGCCGCGAGTTCGAGAAGCGCCGCAAGCGCCGCTCGGCGCTTGAGCTTCACCGGGCCGGGCCACAACTTCTGGCGCGAGTTCCTGCAGGAAGACGTGAAGAGGGAGATCCAACAGGTGGGAAAACCGTGTTGATTCGGGATGATGTTTTTTTTTTCAATTTTTTTTTGGGGAAAACATGGGGAAACCGCTGGGGGAACTTGACATTTTGGGGAACATTGGTTTTGGATGGTTTTGGGAGTTTTTTTTTGTGGGGGGCTGCTATGTTGATCACAAGCTGGTCGTATCAAATGAGTTGAAAGGGCTGGGAAAAGACGGACACATTGCACTTTTGTCGCATTAGGCCGTGGCAAAGAAACTGTTTGACCATATTTGTAGCTGGTTACCTAATATGATATAGTTATCACAGTTAATGGTGAACTGATAGTTATGGTCATAGTGATATAATTGTAGTTGGTTATAGCTACAGATAACTATAGTATGTTATAGTTATAGTTATTATAGTCGTGGCTATAGTTATAGTCATAGTTATAGTTTTAGTTGTACTTACTTAGTTTTGGTGATAGTTATCGTATGTCATAGTTATAAAGTTATAGTTGCAGTGGTCAACCATAAGCAACTATTATAGCAACCAGGTGCCCCTTTGTGGCTGTTCAGGTGAACAGCTTGGATGTGGAGCTGGTGAAGTTTGCGCGCGAGGAGTTTCGCCGGAAATATGGCATGAAATGCGAAGAGATGCCATAAAAAGGGGCGAGCTCAGCTGGCTTGAGGATATCTGGTACGTCACTGGTAGGTACCTCCATAAATTAGGTACCTGAAATGGCCACATACACCATTGACATACAAACTACATCAAAATACTGTTGGCGGGATCTTTGGGCTGGAGTTCCATTTTAGGATTCATTTGTTCATCCGCGTTCCTTCCAACATGGAGGGCAACATGTTGGGTAAAGGGCCAGAGATCTAATGCACACCTACTGCAAGATCAAGGTGAGGAGGGAGAGATCTTTTCAGCTTCGGAATCCGAAGCGGGGCGGGGCGGCTCAGCGGCTGCGTGTCATGATGCGTCATGCTAGTAGCAGCTGCGATGTGGACACATGGACGGGGTCATCCTGCTGGAAGAGTTGCAACATGATGTGCTCCCCACCGTTGATGTTTCTAAATGTTTCTTAGTCAAATCATGAAGGCTTTGTGGGTTGAACTATGTGGAACTATGTTGAACTATGTTGAACTGTCAAATTGCCAGTTGTTAGGTCCAAGCCAAGTCAAGAGATGAGGTGACCGGTGGTGACTGGTACTGGCAGTGGGGGTTGACAGCGGGCCCTTGGTGAATGTTGAAACTTGATGCGTTTGGCATCGTGCTGCAAGACTAAGGTAGTAGAAACACTGGCCGACAAAAAATGTAGAAGCATTTATAACATTCATAACATCTATAACTGGCATTTATATGCATTTATAACATAACCAACATTGATCAACGCCAACATAGCAGGAATGGCTTCTCTTGTGGCCGTAGGATATGACTTCAGGCTACGTTCGTCCTCGGGGGTGCCGCGGAAGCAAGGCGTGGCGGCGCTGAGCGCATCGTTGTTTTGGTGACTTTTGATGTGGGGGTGAATTCTCACCAAACATTCCAGATGATTCCAGATGTATGATTTGGACATGATTTGGAAACTAGTTTCTGATTTGCCCAGCTTTGCTCAGTGATGGTGTGAAACTCTTGTAATTAGTTCTTGGTTAGGAGTTAGGATTGGTATGAGATAGTTGTAAAGTGGTTTTTGATGCTCTCGCCTGCAGCCTCTTTGGGAGAAACATCCTCATCGACTGTAGCTCACCAGCGGACCATGACACCTCAAACCTTCGGCAGATGGATGCTGGGTCAAAAAACATGGGTCACGCTGGGACAAGCCACTGGTGCCATGGCATGCCTCCTAGGCGGCCCATCAGGACCAAGCATTTGTTGATTTTCTTGAGGCTTTGTGGGATTTGTGGATGATGATGCTGAGAGCAAGCTGGCGGAAGATATGCATAATACCGGCATCAGTGGTGCAAGTTGGATTTTTAATTGGATGTTTCGCGCAAGGATTGGCAATTCACCTGGCCCAACTTGACAAATGCAAAGTCGTTTGGCCCAAAGCTTCGCGGCCGTGTCACAGGCCACAAAGTTTCAATGTATGGCCACATTCCCCAAGAACATCACCATAGATTCACGGGAAAGAAATCCAACATTCCAGAAGCTTCAAACACTACAGTTCCAGCCCCAAAGAAACTACATGAAACTACTAACATATCGTGGCAGTGACTGGGGGTTCCAGGGAATCGAACTCGGACCCATGGCAGAAGCCCCGGACGCGCCGCCGGACGTGCCCGCTCCGGCGGGGCCCTTGGCGGAAGATGACCATGCACCAGCAGATGCCTGGCCACGAGATATCTTGGTGGGGAAGACAGGGAGGCTTACATGTGCCATCATGTACCCAGCCAAAGTCATAGCTGGCTGCTGGTTTCTGGTTGCTGGCTTTACTTTTTAGGTGTCCCTCCGATCTTGGATGATATTCAAAGAACTAGCAACCAGCATAGAGGATGGGTTCATCAACACATCACATATCAAAAACGCATCCCAAAAAGGTCGGTAGATGATAGTGAACCAAGATAACATTCGATGGGCTCAAAATGGCTCAAACGGATATGAGGATCAAAAAAAAGCTTGGGTAGAGGTAGATAGACATCCAAAGATATCCAATAAGATAGCCTATTATCAGGGCTTTGACCCACAGCCAAACATGATTGAGGACTTGGATTTACGAACAAGCTTAAAGGGAATGTGAAATGGAGTTGGATATTTCTTTGCCAACATATTTGTTTTATTCTTTTGATGCACGGCGCAGACATGTGGACAGTAAACCATTGACCAATCCCCGCTTCTGAATGATCAGCCGGACGGAAAAAAGGACTTGAAGATCATCCTATGTGGTGACTCCGCAGTCGGGAAGTCCAAGATGGTAGAGCGATTTCTTCTTGAGACTTTGGCGGCAGCTGCATCATGGGTGATAAAGGAGCATGCACACAGATACAGAGATGCACCTGCAATCACATACATACAGTTACATACGTGATCAGAATCAGTGATTTATGGTTTTCATTTATGATTCCTCCACAAGATAAAACATCTCCCGATCGAAACCCTGGTTTGGACGGCTTAGTATTGGATCTATTCACTTTGGGGCCCCTTGATGGTGCTTAATGTTAGGGAGATGAGAGTGTCATACCATGTATATCCTAGGTCCTAGGGTGATGATCACCATTATATATACTAGACTATAAGTGTTATCTTCAGGCTTCAGGTGAAGGTTGGAATTACATGGAATTACCAACCAATCCATGGGATGAATAAGAGCCAAGGAAGAATACAATCCACGGTCGCTCTCCACCTTCGCCCTGACACTCTTCCGATATCACCACACTGCTGAGGACGGGGACTGTTTTGTTGGCTGCTTTGGTATGTTTTGATAGATTATTGACTGATATTGGCTGAATCTCACCAGATGATCCAAGAGCATCCAGCTTCAAAGTCAGATCCGCAACGCTGCTGTGTCAGGCTGTGTCAGGCTGTGTCTTCCCCATTTCTCACCGCACCGAGCTGAGAGGATGGCAGAAGATGGACGATTGACTTCTGGGACACAGCAGGGCAGGAGCAGTTTGCCAAGTTGCACGCATCCTACTATTTTCAGGTGCTGAAAAGGGGCCGGAATGAGCGGATTGGCGTGTCCAAGAGTGGTGGATGGGGCCCAGAAAAGCAACCAAAATGGAAAACACAGAATAGTCCTTGTAAAGAGTAAGTTCACCTGAAACTCCCCCCAATTTGAAGAAAGAATTGCCAATCATAACATACCATTGTTCCAAAGATATCATTTGAAATGATCATCTTCAATTTGGACCTCAGCCCTCCCACTAGGCCCCAAATACTTAGGGCCTCGGCCGTTGATGTTCCCGGCCGGCAGGCCAATGCATGTATCCTGGCCTTCGATGTGACGAGGAAAATCACCTACAAAAACCTGGAGACGTTTGCGACTCAATACGTTTGGAGATGTCCCCGAGGGAGAAAACTGCTGGAAAGCATCCACAGATATCCAAGCAATTGGGGGGGTCCTGTCAAAAATGCTTGTCACTTGTTGAACATCTTCAACATATTTCTGAGAGCGTGTTTGCTTTGTCAACTAGATTTTTTTCTGGTAGCGTAAAACGCAAGATCATGACACTCATGATCGGTTGTGCAACCTTAATGGCCGTCTCTAGACCTGATGGGAGGTCCCACAGGTTCCGCTGGCCGAGGTGGTACCAAGAAATTCGACACTATTGTCCAACGCCCCAGCGGTGGTTTTGGGGCCGTGAGCGAGATTTTTAGACGCCAAAACCCACAGAGATGCTGGAGATCTTGAGACTCACACAGTTAGGGTAATCTTGAAGCATTGGAGTTTCAAAATGAATCGAACACGCATTTTTCAACGATGGATGGACTTGGCACATCTCCACTTAGACTAGGTCCGGACATTCCTGTGGTCTGCGTTGCCAACAAGATCGACGTGGAGCCGGGCATGGCGAAAAAGAAGTTTAACTTCCCGGTGACGCATCAGCTGCCCTTCTTTTTTGCCCCTGGGCAACAAATCGAGGAATGCATTCTCCATTGCAGGAGGGTGCCATTGGCAGTTGGAAGTCCCCTCAGTCAAATTTTTTGGGTACTGCACTGGTAGATACTGGTAGTGTTGCGGTGCTCGTAGTATGACCCTGCCATTTTTGCGGTTCCCCCCCTTTCTCGTTGGTTTTTTCTAGGTGTCCTGTGCTGATGGGACCAACGTGGTGAGGGTCTTCAAGGAAGCCATTTCATTAGCCATCAAGAACAAGGAACATCCTCCAGATGAAGTTCTGGCTTCTCATCTGCAGAGAATAGATCAGGACAAAGCCACAAGTTTCAATACTGCTCAACCTCCTTCACACCTCACAGGCTTCCACACCAAACAGTCCTGGCTGCTTCACACGTCATCATCAACTATCGGTGAGGGATGGTGAGAGTATGCGCTAATTTCACTGTGCATCTGTGTGTATGAGGAGGTTCAAATCAACAAAGAGTTACACTTGGGGCGCCATAGTCCTCAATGAAGCCCCTTTCCACGCGTCCACGCGTGGAGTCAATCTCTCCTTCATGAGTCATCAATTCAATATTAATCAATTACTCATCAACATTGATTTGGCCACGAAAAAAATTGTCAAAAAGGACGGTCACCCCAAAAAGTTATGGATTTCCACATATTTCCAGCATTGTCAAAACTTTGGATTCACTATGAAAAATGATGGATGTCCATCAAATTTGCCCAAAAATCAAAAATCTCCCCAAGATCTGGATCTACATCTGGATTTATTGCCATTTTTGGTAATTTTTGACTCCCAGCCGTTGGATGCCCGTGGGTTTCAGGCGGAGATCTACGCGCTCCTGGCGGAGGATGGTCGGCCATCCAAGGCGCCCGACACGGCGGAGAGCGCCTACGACGAGGCCGGGGAAGCATCGCCAGAGCCGCCGATGCCGCCGGCGCCGTGGCGGAAAACCAATGGGGGATGGATATTTACATATATTTACACACATATACATGTATAATAATATATAATCATAGTATATTATAATAATAATAATAATAATAATAATAATATATAATCATATATAATAATAGTATATAATAATAATAGTAATATATAATAATAATAGTAATATATAATAATAATAATAATGATATAATAATATATAATAATAATATATAATAATAATATATAATAATAATATATAATAATAATATATAATAATAATAATATATAATATATAATAATAGTATATAATAATAATAATAAATATTAGTAATATATAATAATAGTAATAATAATATAATAATAATGATATATAATAATATATAATAATAATATATAATAATAATATATAATAATAATATATAATAATAATAATATATAATAATATATAATCATATATAATAATAATATATAATAATAACATATATATAATAATATATAATAATAATATAATATATATATATAATAGTAATATAATAATAATAATAGTATTTATATATATAATTACATATATATAGACATATGTACGTATATGACGTATATGATTTTTATTTATGTGATATATATATATGTGTGATATATATATATATATGATATATGTGTGTGTGTGCGTGTTAATACAAAAACCGGAAAGATCATCTCAGCCCCACCAAGGCGCCGCCCGCCTGAACTCGAGCCGTTGCGATCTTTGCGCGGGGTGATACGTGGAATCCCAAACTCGGAACCCATCAGAAGGGGGTTGGAATCCCTTGTAACCTCCAAGAGACTAGGTTTTCTTGTTGTGCACTCCGGAACCTGGCAATGGACAATTCATACCTTATATCTTTATATATACACCTTTGATATTTGATGAGAAAATTATCCGGTAGATATCTACATCCATTGCCTGCGAGGCTACATCCATTGTTCAGATAGTTCCACCATGTTCCACCCCGGCAATCGGCGGCATGGCGGGACTGCGGTGAACGAACGTAGGTGTTGGAAAACCCAAGACTTGGCCGCCAAAACTGTCCACAAAAGGTATGATATGGTATGATGATATCGTTGGGACAGTTATCTTCCGAATTCATTTTGCATGTTTAGTTTTTAGAAGTGCAATGTTACTCCACCTGATAGTGTAGATGGGCTTGCGGATTTGCAAGCTATGGCATGCTATGGTATGCTATGGCTTTCTACAGCGGCAGTGCCACAGTGCGTTGCAAATGTGATGTGCATTTAATTTGATGACCAACAACATTTTTTCACGTTATTGTAGTACTTATTCCAATTCCGCGTGTTGAATTCTGGTCATTGGCAAACATCCCAACAAAGTCTGATCCTTAAAAAATACGGTTACTTGTGACCAATTGTAACATGGGCGGATGTAGATGTATGCGTTATGGCTTTCCACCACTGGCATCATGGGCCGCATTGGTTTCACTGGGAGTCGACGCAGTCCAGCGGATGAAGTGGCAACTGCATGTTGAGATATGGGTATGGCACAGTAGTTTTCCAGAGTATTGACCAGCAGAAACGGATTAAACATGGTGGTCAACGTGCTTCAATACTAAGATTGTCAATTTTGTGAGTTTTTTTTGTACCCCATTTCTGCCCCATGCAGCTCAGTGGGTATTTGGTGGTTTTGGATTCCGATGGAGCTGGAAGTCTCCCCCATATAAGTGCAGATAGAGAGGCTGAATGCTGACGCATGGCTGAAAACTCTCCGCGCCCAAGGGGATCAGGGCTGGGGTCAGAAGTTCCCAGCATCGCAGCATCGTAGTGGACCGGTTTTTTCTGCATTTTTGAAGCGCCACCGCCCCAAAGAAACTGGCTCTTTCGGACATCCTGAGATATCCCCAGCTAGAGAAGGTTTTCAAGCCATGATAGGAAATGGCTCGGATATGCACTATGGAATGATATGGGCGAGTATGGATATGTAGCGTAACCGTTGGGTGGCAACCAACCTGAGAGTTCTTTGGATCCTGCAAGGAGATGTCGAGACTCGACTCTACAAGACCCTTTCGGCTGGTGGAAAAAGCGGGCGGCGACTGCCTTTTTTGGGACAGCAAGCTGGGTGTGCCACTGGCTGGGTCGGCATTTTTTGCTGGTCCAGTTATTCTAAAAGTTGAGTTGAAGTTTTATTCCACTGCGCCCTACGTAGTCACTGCATGATCTGCATGTCACTGCTGGAGTTATGGCTATTGAAAGTTGGTCCAATGACAGGCCCTGTCCAACTTCCAACACATTCAATGGCTAGTTTTGGTGCCATCCCGGATGAACATCAGCGGCCCCAAATGAAATGATGTGACATGGACAATTGTGGAGAAGCTTTCATCTATTCAAGCCATCGGAAAACCATCAGCCTTCTAATCTTATATCTAATGGTTCGGAAAACCATCTTATACAAACAATCTTCAGTCCCAGAAGTGGTTGCGGGGAAATTGAGACCGGAACTCCACAATCAGCAATGGTATGGTTTTTTTTGTCTGTAGATGTCTTTTGGTAACCATGCTTTCCAGTGAATTTTCCCACGGTGCAGGCGCTGAATCCAGGCTGGCGCCTTGTTTTGTGGCCACCTGTTTTTTAAGGCCATGCCCAACGATTTCCAGACATTTTAGAGGAGATCTCCACTAAAGACCAGGATTTGCTGAACACCGTGAAAATTCCTATGGCTGAATCCCCTGGATCAGAAAACAAACTGGATGGCTTCTTTTTCAGCCATAGGTTTCTTCATAGCAATTGATGTCTTTTTCTGATTTTCCAAACAGGCTCCTCTGTTTGGGGCGCCGCCTGGACCCCTGGACCCCCTTAAGGCTTGGACCGGAGGAAGCGCCCTGTTCGGGATGCAGTGGCAGTTTGGAGTCTCAGTGCTGAGTTTACCTTCCCATGGACCAAGGGATCCAAGGGATGCCAACAGATCCAAGGTTCATATATGATCTGTCATTAATATTAATGTTATTGCAAATGTTGTTCATGTTGTTCCAACGAAAACTCGAGGATTTTGGGGGATTTCGATTTTTTGTTGTGACATCAACAATAAGAATTCGAAGACTTCAGACAAAACACAGTTTTTTTGGGGGCAGAAACAGGAATCCAACCACTTGATGCTTAGGAGATACTAACTGGGATCGGCAATGCAGGGTTTTTTTGGATCGGTTCACTGTTGGTCCCCAAAAATCGCACGCGCGGTGCTTCGCGGCAAGCATGTGTCACTTTTTGAACCGCCAGTGTGACAGGAATGCTCCAATATTATCAAAATGAATATATATATATATAATATGTATCGGTATATATTTATCCCATATTTTTTCTGCTTTCCCGTTCCAGTGCTTGCCACCAATTGCAGCTATTTCTGGCAAACAGCAAACAGCAACGAGTGGACAAAAAATCACAGAACATAAAAGACATAGTGAAATGACAGCCAAATGACAACTCGCTGAAACGGCCGGCCGTTTCCAGCCATTGCAGCGTATCAATGTTAGATCTGCTACCATCGCACCAACTTCTAGGCCAATCTTTTGGAACTGAAATGACCCATCCAAACGCAGCTATGGCATCCAGAAGCCAAGGAGCCATGACCTGACCATACCTGACCGATATGATGGTAGATGGCCTGGGTATAGATTGGTAGATAATTGGTAGATATATAGGATAATTGGATATTCTATGATATTCTGATGTCACTGGGGCAATTGTTTGGCCTCAAGGCAGATTGTGGCGGCTTGCTGCGTGCATCCTCTTGCTGGGTGCATCCTCCTGCAACTTCCTGGCCCTCGAAGAGGAGGGGGTCGGGCCGAGGGATCCCGGAAGTAGAAGTGGAAGGGAAACTCTGATCTTTGGATGGAAAATGATGGGGAAAAAACACAAGGATAAATGAGTATATTGAAAGCATATTGAGTATATCAAAAGCACAATCTAATCTATATATATATATATAGTATTAATATGATTAAAACGGATCAAAACGCATGGATCTCTTGCAGGTTCCTATCAGTTTTCTCTTCAAGCCAGAACCCGCCAGGTTCAACATCCCTTGGATCGAGGAGGAGATCTTTTATTTCTCCCCATTCGGGTGGTCATGGAGCCTCTCACTAGCTTTGTGAGTGCCCTGATAAATCATGGGGGAGCCAAGGGGGTTGGCTGTGAAGATATCAGTTTGAAGGTTTGGGGAGTCAAGATGTGGTGGTGGTGATGATGAAGAAGATAACATCAATCCTTCTAAGGTACAACGAAACCCTGCCAGCTGACCTTAGTCTCAAAACTTGCTGCATGGTTTGCAAGAATGACCACAGGCCCAACAGTTTCTGATGGGAGAAACCTGGTCTTCTCTACCTCCCAGGTGCGGTCTTGCTGTGGCCACTGCGGTTCCATTTCAGGGTCCAAGCCCTGCGATTGGGCGCAGCCAATGCACCCGGCAGAAGCGTCGACTTGCCGCAGGTTGGATGGTAACGGATGGTGCCCGTTGGGTTAGATTTTGGGATGCCCAGGTCAATGAGTAAGCCCTGGTTGTGAGAAGGTTGAATCAAAGATGATCCAGCTATATAGACATTTTTTGGGCAAGTCTGCTGCTCATTGCTGTGGGAACTTCAGCTATTTGGTTATAACTCTTTTGAACCCCAAACCAAGCTACAAGGGATATGCCCGAGCTACTCATTATGTCACATCATTTTGAATGGAGCATCCCAGCACCCAGCACTCTCGAGTGCAGCTGGGTCCCAGAATTGATTTAAGGATTTGAGGATGTTTAGGGGAACCATTACACGAAACCCGGCAAAACCATGGGTTCCAGTCTCCATTATATAAACAATTCCATGCAAAAAAAATGCATTTATCAACATAGACGTGGAAATCCAAGCAGTTGTAACCCATGGATGTCCATAATTCTATGGATAATCATGGATATTCACCCTTATTGGCAGTTATTAAACATAATTAACTAACCATAGATTAGCTCATCATAGATATTAATCATCAGTATTAACTATAGGTTAATTATAATTAACCATACTGGTTGGTGGTTTCAAACATTTTTTATTTTCCATATGGGTTGTCATCCTTCCCATTGACTTTCATATTTTCAGAGGGGTAGGCATACCACCAACCAGCATATAACCATAGATATCATTAGATAATATGACTTCTATGATATTAGATACCATTAATCATTAGATATCATAGATATTAACTATAGGATAATGATCATTAACCATAGATATCTATCTTTTCCCCCACGGTATCTTTCTTGAAATCCACGGTGACCGTCATCCTCCGTCATCCTCCGTCGACCGTCGACCGACTCGGTCGGTCTTCGGCCGCAGGTCTTGCGTCAGGCCTCCCAGCAGAGCTGCCAGACCTTGCAGCAGCTCTTCCGGGCTGATGCAATGGCCTTTGGGCGCATGAGCTGCAGCTGGTTCATGATTATGATTTATTATACTATGATTTAATCATATCTTATGATTTAATCATATCTTATGATTTAATCATATCTTATGATTTAATCATATCTTATGATTTATTGACTATTATGATTGAATTATACTGCTGATTGATGACTATGATTGAATTATTGATTCTTATTGATTATGATTGATTGAATTGATATAGCGCTCATTTTCGTGATTCGTTTTGTCTGCACTGCAATGTGCGGCAATGTGTGACATATAATTCATACAAGATATATGTTTTTAAACAGAAATGTAGAGTTCTACACGCACATATGTGATAGGATACAATAGACTTTCGGAATCTTTTGTTTTTTTTGGGGGATGTGTTTGTCTTTCGTGAACGATGAATCCGAGCAAGGCTCGGCTGTTCAGTTCGGAGGTTGACATTTGAAGATCCTAGGGGTTGATTCTATCATAGCACCAGCAGTCCAGAGATCAGATCTACTGAACTGTAAGTTCATCTATATAGTAACCTCATACCTAAATTTTAAATTATAAGTTCACCTTTATAATTCTTTATATATGTTTTTTCCTATTTTTATCAATATACCGATGCGTAAATCGCCGTAAATCTCCAGTTCACCAGTGGGAACCCCTAAGCCCCAACATGTCCTGAATAGAGTCAGGTCCTGAGACGGTGCTGATTCGCAGTTCACAGGTGAGAGTGAGCATTTTGCCCTCGCGCTTCGGGCGTCGGAAGGTGGGGTCGGCACGGTCGGAACATGTGCGGGATGATGATTACAGAACATATAAGCTCGGAACAGTATCCCATGATAGATAAGATATAGCTTATGTAATAGTGGGATATATCATGATATATCTTATCCAACATTACCCATTTTGCGTAGTATGGGATAATGTGGGTAAAACAATGCCATTAACCAGCCATGACTGGGAATGGTAAACATACCACCTATTGAAATGGTGATGACTGGGGGATATCTTCAACATTATCCATGTTTCCAAGTAGCCAATGGGGTAAGAGTTGGAGAGATTGAGATGATGGAAATGTTGAGCCTGTTGACACACTCAAGGGGTGCAGTTGTTGAAGGTATTTGGGAGATTTGGGGAGAATTTATATATCTGCATAAGTTGAATATCTCCAAATCTTCCAAATATTGAGGCTGGACGCCAGTGGTTCCCAATCCCACGAACTCACTGGGCGAAACAAAATTCATCAGTGCAACATGGTTATTTTGATGTATTATTTTGAAAAACATGAAGTTGAAGGCCTTGTGTGCAAAATACTTAGTCCGCAAATTTCACTGCTCATATTCCCATTGAGTATCGTTGGAACATTACTAATAGACTATGACAAGTTTTTGAGGGGTAAATTCCAATCATTCTCCGCTGAGTCGGTTTCCATCCACAGTTTCCATTCTTGATGGCTAAATGCCATTATTTTTGTTGGTTCACTGGTTCACTTCCTATTTTTGACGGTTCAATCCTATTTTTGTTCGATTTTTGGTGGTTTACTTACTATTCTTGATGGTTTTACTTCCTTTTTTTGATGGTTTTTGATGGTTCAATCCTATTGTTCTTATATAGTTAAATCCCAATTTTTCAGGGCAACACGCCACCATTTTCAGGTGCTCCTAGCCACCGACACACTGGTATCCCAGCTGTCGGATTTAGAGCTGCGCTTCGTGCTGGGACGGGAGACGCTGGGGACGCATTTGAAAGTGATGGTTTCGTGGTCATTAAGCAGTGATGACTCAATGATTATCTATATAGACTAGATATTATTGTAGTGACTATCATAGCGGTTATGGATGATTATGGTGACTAGTATAGTGTTTAGTGTTTAGTCAATAGTCACTGTATAGGTAAGCCATTATATATATATATAATAAATGATTATTGTTTACGGTAACTCTTAACTGATCATTAGTGATGATCATGAAATAGTGGTTATTCAATGGTTATAGCGATTACATTGATTCATCACGACTATATCATCGAATCAGTGACAGTCAAATGAATAAATCAGTTCCAGAAATTGAAGTGATCTCATTTTTTCAGTGGACTGAAGAGTTTTGAATTTTAGATTCATGATTAATTTATAGATGTTTATCATCTATCTTATAATATATGGTAATGGATTATATTCATTGATCATGGTGTGTTTCTGTCGATTACAGTTATCTCCGATGCCTCCATGGAAGAGATGTCGTAGGTGATCGTTTCCCTACTTGATATGTTCATATCAGCCATGGAACCATAAGGCCTATGTTTTAGGGCTAAATTTCAGGGATCCCCACACGATATGGCCTGGAATATGGTACTAATAGCTCTTGAAAATCCCACTGATCATATATTGTCCAAGCTCACAACTTCCCCGTCTATTTTGGAATGGTATACTGGAATGTGTAGATATCATCTTGCCGGACCTATATTCCACCAGTTTGTGATCAGGGCCGATTCCTCCATGCGATTTTCTGCTGTCGAAGTTGGCGGCTGTCGGTCGCATGAGTGATATGAACGGGGTGTTCTGTGGTTATAGAAGCAGGGAAACACAGGACATAACTGAAACAGTTCCTCGAACTTTCAACCAAACATTGGCTTTGGAAGTGGTTTGTACCCTGGGATGCCCTGGGTGAACGAACAGAGATGTGGAAAACCCAGGGTTTCCTCAGGAAAACGATCTGGGTTTTCCGGTGCCTATCCTGGAACCAGGATGGGTCGCAGCTGGTTGCGGCACACGGACTTTCTCCGGCCATGGGTCTTGCAGCACTTCGTGCGTGCCACGGCAGCCAGTGGGAAGTTTGTGTGGCTAAAGAGGCTGGATGATGAATTATGATGAATTACCATCTGGTTATTTAACATAGCCATGGAAAATCACCATTTTTAATAGGTAAACCATCTATTTCTATGGGCGATTTTCCATGGCTATGTTAAATAACCAGAGGGTATGATGAATTATGGATGATGATTGAACATCCAACTGAGGTGATGTCGTGCTGTTCCCTTTGAACGTCCTTGGCTACCGCCAGACATCCACTTTGAGGGAACGACCGACATCCCAAAGCTTCAAGAAATGGATGGTATTGAGACGTTGGGTGGACGGTGTGGCAAATGCCTGCGATGCCTATCGCGGCTTGAGGCCAGCCATTGGTGGTTTTAACTTTGAATGGATATTACGTTGGCAAAATGAGTAGATACATCAATAGATGACAAAGAATGAAGATAAATCAAGATAGTGTGTATTGTTGAATGATGTTGAATGTAATAAGCCAAGTACTCATTTAAACAATTTGTACTGGTATTGACACGCGGACTTAGAAACGAATCAGTTGAAATGTACACACAGAACTAGCCGCTAGACACCAGAAACATCTTAAAAGATATTACAATGCAATTCCACCCCTCCCCAAAGAATATAACATCTAAAGAAAATACTGTAACAATCTTCCCCCCTCTTCTTCCAGGTCCGGCACCTGGCCGGGTCTTTCCGACCTGGACCTGGAGCATTTCCGGTGTCCCGTCGCGCCGTCGTCCTACGGCCCGGTGGACGCTGCCGCGGCACTCTGCGCGCGGCTCCGCGCGCCCGGGGGCGTCTCGGCGCTGGGCACCGCGGCAGTGGGGTCGGTTGGACCCAAGCTGGCGGCGGTGGTGCTGAGTTTGTCACCGGATGCTGGGTAGGAAAAAAAGTTTGTCACTTTCACTTCTACCTGTATAGGTTTCTTATGGTTTCTTTGGAGGTCAAAAACGGTGAACAAAATTGGAGATGATGGGAGATGGATTGGGTTGATGATGTTTGAGTGAAGATTGGGTGATGACATGTAATTAGTAGAGGGCACAGCCAGTTTTTAAAACAATGTTGGGAGAGAGCCAAATTGGCTTGTGCAGCTGAGAGTTTTGAAGTAGGAACACGATGGAAAACGGATGAATTTTGGATCAATTGCAATCTTGCGGTTGGCGTGGGTTGTCATTTTAGACGATAGGTCCTCAGCATGTCGACTTATGGGGTCCACACAAGCCGAAACAAGCGGTGAGGATGGGCAAGTCAGTCATTAAAAGATTGGGGGGATGGTGAAGCACCAACCATTGGGTGGAACTTTGAACAAAGAGATGTACGAAATGGTGTTTGTGATGTTGTCAATGTTGTGGTTGTCGCTGTTGAAATGATGGGGCTGCCCTTTGGTAAACTAACATAACTATGGAAAATCACAATTTTTAATTGGTAAATCCACTATAAATGGCCATTTTCAATAGCTATGTTAAATTACCAGAGGGTACCTGATTTGTTTCTTGAAAAATCCCCATGGGCTGCACGCCTTCAGGAAGAGGAGAGGCAGCTGATGCGCTTCACCAGATTCCTGGATTGCCCTGCAACAGACCGACGGTTTGGGCAATCCTCCGCGGGTATCAAATTGAACCACCAAATGGTAAGGTGAACCCTCCCAGAACTGAAACATCATGAAACATCTACTGGGATCAAAAGATGGTGAAGTTAACCAGAAAGGTTATCCATCCATCCACCCATCCATCCATCCATCCATCTATCCATCTATCCATCTATCCTTCTATCCATCTCTCCATCTCTACCTACCTAGACCTATACCTATCTATCCTGTTTTTGTCTCCTTATAAACAAACCTTAAAATACCTTGGCCCAACCTTCCCTGCCCGAGGACTGGGCACCTGGGCCTTGGGCCTTTGGTCAGCAAAGGCTAGGGCTGAGGTCTTCTCGGCGGATCGTTTGGGATTTCTGGCTGCCGAGGGCGATCTGGACGCTGCAGCTGGGAGTTGAGTGAGACCCCAATGGGGATGCGAGTCTTGGGGGGGTTGTAGCAGTTGAATTTGGCCATTTGTGGAATTTTTGCTACATTTTCATGGTATGCATTTGATTATATTTGTATATCAGGATATCTATTAATTAATTGATTTATTTATGTATGCGTGTGTGTGTGTGTTTATGTGCATCAGTATGGCAAGGAGTTATTATGAGTTTGTGCAATGACCTCCTGATTTTGAAACAACAGGGTTTCTTCATTTGGAAGGTGGCTTTAAAGCAAGTGGTGACTGGGTAAACCTTGGCGAATTGCTTGGGCCTGGTTGATGCAATGGGCTTTTTTTTCCCTAATATTTTTCCCTTTTTTGGGGGGAATGTTATTGTTGGTTCGTGGATTTTACCCATATATCATATCCTCCAGTAATTTAAAATAGCTATTGAAAATGGTCCATTTGTCATTTATTTACCTATTCCAACGGTGATTTTCCATAGTTATGTTAGTTTACCAGAGGGTAAATGGAGGAATGTCGGAATATCCACGTTAAGTTTTTGTTGAAGAGCGCGGTAGCCATGGCTAGCCTCGGTCAGTTGCCTTCCTGACGGACTTTATAGAGCACTGTCCTTCCTGAAACACATTTCAGAGTTTTTTTTTGGGTTGGGGAATGGTTAACTTCATGACTCCATGAAATATCACATTTCGATCACTGTATATAGTATTGTTCATAATTGATATTAATTATTATTACAGTTGTTTATTGATAAATGTAATGGGATAAATGCACCAACCATTGCTTAAATGTTAAAATCAATATGCCGTCAGCCAATTCAATATCCACGAATCAATCTCTCATGACTTAAACGTTAATTTAACTAATTACTCATATCCCATCATTGGTTAATCATTAATCAGGGAATTAACCATTAATAAATCAATATCCCATTAACCATCAAGTAACCATTAATCAATAATTAACCATGATGAAATCAACGTCCCATTACGAATAGGCAAAGATGATTAACACATATTAATACTTAACCTGGTTATGTTAATAGTTTGCTGATGTTAACTGGTATCCTATGTTTACCCTCTGGTGAACTAACATAGCTATTGAAAATGGTGATTTATAGTGGATTTTCCCATTAAGAATGGTGGATCTTTCCATTGCTATGTTAGTTCACCAGAGGGTAACATCGTTGAACGATTCATGGTGGGTCAACATGACCTGGTCATCGGGAGCACCTCCAAGGCCTTGAGGGCCATGGTCCTAGCCGCACAGCGGCCAGGGGACGTGGCCACGGCCACCCTGCTGGGAAGCAGCGAGCTGGTGAAACAGGCGCGGAACCGTGGCAGCCTCGGGCAGCGCTGCTGGGACATGAGAGAAGTGAGGTTTTATGGGAAGGGCTTAGCAATGCTTAGTAGATGTGAATGGATGACTTAAATATGATGCTCATAGATGTTGATGATTTTTGATAGATATAAAATGATATAAATAGATGTGAATGGATGACATGATGTGAATGGATGTCCATAGATGTTGATGCTATCCAGTATATAAATCATATCTCACCCTCCGGTGTCATCCAACGCGGATGGCTGGAAAATCCCCCCGACCTCAGTGGAGGTTTTTTTGGAAAATCATCGGATTGTCAAATGTCACGTTTGTTTGTTAACCCGACACTACCTGGGATGGCAATCTGGTTTGTATTATTGAAATATGAAAGGATATGAAAGGTGATCTTTAAATATCTTTAACAGTCATCACCTTCCATCCATGGATCGTTGGATTATATTAATTATCAACGGGATGGCAGTGGCAGATGAGTTATGTTCATCTGATCCTCCCACGGATTCCCACAGGCTGACCATTGCAAAACAGATTCACACAATGATGGGCGTCGCCCAAAAATTCAACTTCCCACCCTAACATTCATAAAAAAAATCATCAACATCCAGAATATGTCTGCAGGTCTGCATATTGTGTTTTTGGGTGTTATGTTCATTTATCTTCAAACCCAGGATTTTTCTTCCCATGTTTTTGGCTTCTTTTTTGGGCAGTTCCAACAAGGCTTTCCCCTGGCAGATCCAGGCCGAATACTTGGCTTCGGTGCTTCCGGCCACTTACTGGTCCTTGTCCCCCTCGCTCTTCGCCCGGGTTGCCGATCTGAGCTCCTGGGCGAGATCGCCCACGGCCCGCGCCGCACTGCAGATGTGAAGGAGCGGTTCTATAGGGCCCATTGGGATTTACCCTCTGGTTATGTCAAAATAGCTATTGAAAATCACCATTTATAGTGAGAAATAGTGAATTTTCCCATGACACAATGGTGGATCTTTCCATAGCTATGTTAAATTACCAGAGGGTAAATGTGTGTTAAATGGTATTTATGGTTAAGAATGATAGTTAGTGGTTTATATAGTGGCTAATGGTTATTGATGATAAGGGTTGAAGCAAATATTGGTGATTATGAATGGTGAATAATGAGAATTTTTAGATATGGGCAAATTATAACTACCTCACTGCGACGTCACTGGAATGATGGATAGTAGCAGATAGTAGCAGTAGCTATGGCCAACTGCTTATTTCAGGTTTGTGAATGATTATAATGTATTCAAGTATTGTATCATCCACTACTCTTGAGCGATGCTATTTGATGATCTAAATGCACCAGCTAGATGTACCTCCGGTACTCTGTAACATGGCAGCGGCAAATCATCATTTTTTGGATGATTTCCCGCTAAAACCCAATTTTTATATGGGATTTCCTGAATTTTAACGAATTTTATATAACTTACTTGCAGGGTTACTGACCACCCAGCTTGGATAGTAAGCTCCAGCAGGTACAGTACGGTGCAGACTCATTGGTTTAGAGATGTGACATCTTATGCGAGCTGCCAAAGTGCAGCTGGGAGCTGGGGAAAGCTCAGTCTCTGAAGGTGTTTCGCTGAAAAATGAACTGAGAAGCTGTGCATGAGGGCCATTTATCTGTCAGTGGGTCTTCTGTGTGGGGATGAACCTTAGCATATCAACAGGTTGAGAATAGCCACAGCCTTTGCGTCGGTTGCATCGGCGGGCTCAGCTCAGGCTTCATCTCTGGGCCTTGTGGTGCTGGTCCGCAGCCATCCAGGTGGGGGGTTCTTAAAGGGGGAGGGATTCCGAGAAGGATGGTAAAGAATGAACACAATGGCAGGTCTCAGAAGCTGGCTGCTGGGATTGCTTGGCTCCTCTTAGAATTGGGCACGTTTAGTAGAAAGTTATTCAGCATCCTGTTCGGACGCACTGAGCAAGGAAGCAGGCCCGTAGAAGCAGAAAGCCTCCGTGAGTCTGGCTGGTGCCAGGACTTGGCTTCAGTCCAAGGGGCTTGGGGACAAGCAGGAGTTCGATTCTCCCTCGGAGGCGTTGTTTCTCTTTCTCTTTCTTTTTTCCTCCCACTTGTTTTATTTTTACAGCACTTTTTGTTTGTTTGTTTGCTTGCTGCCTGCTTGCTGGCTGGCTGGCTGGCTTGCTTGCTTGCTTGCTTGCTTGCTTGTTTGTTTGTTTGTTTCTCCGTTTTAATTTTTATATAATTTTAATCTTTTTTCTTTTCGTTTCTTTTTGCTTTGCATCTTGCTTTCTGAGTTTTCTGGCTTTGCATTGTTGGTCATTTTTTCCTTTCCCTCTTTCCGTTTTTCCTGGTTTTGCATCCTTCGCCCATCTTGTTGCTCGTTTGCTCACTTCTTTATTCGCTTCTATTTTCTTCTTTTCCTCCTGATCTCTCCTTCTTTCTTTGCCAGCTCCCTAGCAGTCTGCTTGCCTTCGGCCGATGCAAGCCGCCATCCACCCCCGCGATCTCCGCAACCATGCCCATGGCCCCTTGCCCCCAATAGCTCCCCCCCCTTCTTGTGATCTGGGCCATCTCCATGTTCCGCATGGTGACTGGTTGCCTTGATCGTCCTGGCTTTTGGATTTAGGCGCATGTGTGCATGCATGCCTCATGGGTAATTAGAAACGTTAGTGGCCTGATGCCGGAATGGACACGCTCGAAGCAGATGCTAAACACCCATGTTTTTTCAACCGCATGCCAGCACGCCTCCCTATTTGCGTAACGCCCTTAATGCATGTCAAAGCTCTGTAACCGCCCAGGAAAGGCAACAACTTCGTTCAATTCGCCCAGAAAAAAGTAGGCCCATGTCTTGTATACCTTCTTATATATTTAGCAACACAAAAGATTCCCCATCACAGCCCAGCGGTTGCACATGGGCGGCTATGTCCCATTGGTTGACCCGCGAATGTTGAGGCCATGTCGCAGGTGAAACCTTGGTAATCCGACGTGACGTCTTTGTTGGACATCATTTGATTAAGACTACCAACCCCACCAAAAAAAAGCAATTGCACAACCACAAAAACAAGTTGCATAACCAAAAAAAGGCACTGGCATAAGCAAAACAAGCAATTGCATAAGAACAAGTCCTCTGGTAGTTGATGAAGTTCCCATTCTCGCGCCGAATGTGGCCGACCTGGGCCACTGGCGGCCACTAGGCTGGAGATCATTCGCGCCTATTCCCTTGGCCGGGGCTCTATGGGCTCTGTGCAGGAGCCGACGCCACGGCAGGTCCAGCAGCTAGAGTTCAATAAGCACCTCACTGTAGCACTGAAAATTGGATTGAACAAAGGTTTACCCTCTGGTTGTTTAACATAGCCATGGAAAATCGCCCATAGAAATAGATGGTTTACCTATTAAAAATTGGTGGATTTTCCATGGCTATGTTAAATAACCAGATGGTAAGTCGGTGAACCAACTGAAGCAACTGGTATTGATTTTGGGGCAAGCGGCTGGTGAGTGGCTGGCAAATCAAGCAAAAGTAAAGACGATTGGCGGCTGATTAGCGACTAAAGGATTCCAACAAACAAACAAGTATGTGTTGTCTATATCCATTGGGCAAAACAAGCTAGTCAAGGGATGTTAAGCCATCAAATGCACGGGGTATCAATCAGCCAAAAACCCTTGTTGTAACTAGGCACCATTTTGGCTCAAGTGGTTTACCTACTTGGCTCCAAATTCCTTTCTTGCCGGGCCTTGTGGTGTCGAGGAACGCTCCGTGTTTTTTCTCAATGTTTCAAGACTTTCAAGCGACTGTAGTTTTGGCAAGCGGCTGCAGTGAGATCATTTCGCTTCCCCTGTCCTCCACAGTGGGTGACTTGAAGATTAAAACCCAGGAGAGGTTTCAACTAGGATTGCTGAGGCTTGTCACTGCTGACGGGCGCATTTTGTTTGACCCTGCTCAATCGCTCTTGGATGCTCGGCTCGATGAGAAAGACTGCCTCACTGCTGTTCCAATCCAAGGAAAGGTGGCAGCAACAAAAAAGATACTATCTAGCGGTGCTTTTGCATCGTGGTGCTTTGGTGGCAACAGGATAGTCACATGGGGCAGTGCCGATGGTGGTGGTGACAGCTCTGCAGTGCAAGACCAGCTGAGGAATGTGCAGCAGGTCCAGGGCACAGGCCGCGCTTTTGCTGCAATCCTGGCAGATGGATCTGTGGTCACCTGGGGCCGTGCCGATGGTGGTGGTGACAGCTCCGCAGTGCAAGACCAGCTGAGGAATGTGCAGCAGGTCCAGGGTACGTCTGGCGCATTTGCTGCGATCCTAGCAGATGGATCTGTGGTTACGTGGGGCCACCCGGGTTGTGGTGGTGACAGCTCTGCAGTGCGAGACCAGCTCAGGAATGTGCAGCAGGTCCAGGGCACAGGCGGCGCTTTTGCTGCAATCCTGGCAGATGGATCTGTGGTCACCTGGGGCAGTGCCGATTTTGGTGGTGACAGCTCTGCAGTGCAAGACCAGCTGAGGAATGTGCAGCAGGTCCAGGGCACGTTTAGCGCATTTGCTGCGATCCTAGCAGATGGATCTGTGGTCACCTGGGGCCGTGCCGATGGTGGTGGTGACAGCTCTGCAGTGCAGAACCAGCTCAGGAATGTGCAGCAGGTCCAGGGCACGTTTAGCGCATTTGCTGCGATCCTAGCAGATGGATCTGTGGTTACATGGGGCCACCCGGATTATGGTGGTGACAGCTCTGCAGTGCAGAACCAGCTCAGGAATGTGCAGCAGGTCCAGGGCACTGCACTCGCATCTGCTGCAATCCTGGCAGATGGATCTGTGGTCACCTGGGGCAGTGCCGATTTTGGTGGTGACAGCTCTGCAGTGCAAGACCAGCTGAGGAATGTGCAGCAGGTCCAGGGCACAGGCCGCGCTTTTGCTGCAATCCTGGCAGATGGATCTGTGGTCACCTGGGGCCGTGCCGATGGTGGTGGTGACAGCTCTGCAGTGCAAGACCAGCTGAGGAATGTGCAGCAGGTCCAGGGCACAGGCGACGCTTTTGCTGCAATCCTGGCAGATGGATCTGTGGTCACCTGGGGCCTTCCCGATTGTGGTGGTGACAGCTCCGCAGTGCAAGATCAGGTTTCAGAACTGTAGGAGAATGTTTATGCTCATGAATTTCTTCATGCGTTCGATATTGGAAACGTTCCAAGGCCGTGAGCGGCCGTGAGCGGAAAAACAGCAGAATATGTACCCAACCCGAGTTTATCAATCCAGGGTTGGAAGTTGAAAGTTGCAGTCAAAACCACATGTTTTTTTTTTCCCTGGTGTTAGGGGTTTTTTGAAACCGCACATTTTTCAGGCTGGGGTGAAAATTGGTCCTCTGCCAAAACCACCTTTGGATCAGGGCTGCCAATGCTGGCGCTGGCCACTGTGCAGTTGGTCAACTTTTGGCTGGGGCGGTCAGTTTCCTCGGGACTAAGACTTGCGGCGCTTGGTTTGTTTGTTTTGTTTTTGAGCAATGGAGAAACATAGATATATCCAAGCGCTGAAAACTGTGGTATCTTTTGTGCGATGCGCCTAAGGCTCCCCATGTACTGGTTCTTACATGTGGAAAATCATCATTGAGTCTTTGAAGAGGAATTGGTGACATACCCAAGGATATCCAAGGAAAATTGGGGCTGCCCAACACACAAAATTATTTAGATAATTCGGATTCTGGACTGGACAAGGTGAATACGTCGGCACGAAGGGCACATATTACCTTGTATGTCTGTTTTGTTTCTTCAAACATGCGGAAGGAATTGAAATGCTCCCCGAGACAACATGTTGAAACTTAAAACCACATTTGTAGGTGCTCACACCCCTGTATTTTGGTGAGGGGCATATGCGTGTCCGGCTATCGCTTTGTACATTCACGCTCCAAGGCCTTGCATCTGTGCCTTGCAAGGCTGGCGCGTGCAGCTCTGGGCAGCCGCTCCTGCTGGCATCATGTGTCCAGAGGGTCTTGAAGGCGTTTTATTTGGTGATGGTGATGATGTTGATGATCTTCCATGGCTGATATTTTCTGTATATATAGTATATTGACGCGTTTACTTTCCATTATTTTCCATTGCTTGGATGATGGTTGTCATGGCCTATGGCCATCTATGGCCAATTTCCAGGTATTGCACTTGGAGGCCTCTCCATGGCAGGAGTCTGTTGGGGTACCTGGCCCGCCCGCTGGAAGCAGCCAGTGACTTGTTTGTGCAGAAAAATGCCTTAAAAACATCTGGCCATCCGCAACAACAGATGTTTTATTTGGACAAACCATGGTTTGTCCACGTATGTTCCCGTGAACATAGGCCTTGCTTCACTTCTATGCCAGTCACCCAAGGTCTGCCAGTGGCTGTCGCACGGAACCAGGGACGCTGTGCCAGCTGCATGATTGCAAGCTTCGGCCCCGGGCAGCATTGTGGTTTTCTGATGTTTTCTGTTGTTTTGAGATAATTTCATATTAATTATATATATATATAATTTCAACATGTGCAGAAATTATCAAAAAACATTTAGGATATTTAGGGCAGTTGGCAAAGGGGGAGCTGATGTGCTTCTAGAGATGCGTGTGTGTTCAGCCGCATTTTCCTTCAACCACCTCTTCACCCTCAAACTCAGTTTGGGTATGTATGTGTCAAAATATGACTAACTTTCAACATCTTTCAACCATGGATGGTCTAACCCTCAAACACACCACTCTGGTTGGTGCCTCATTTTCTACCCAGACAAAACCATGTAACTTATTTGCTACTTAAATTTACTTAATATTACTCAATATTACTTGATTGCGAGTGATCCCCATGGTGACATATATTCCGGCATTTTATTTGACACATAATTCACATAATCTCATAATATATGTTCTGACATTTGATCGGCGTAGAGTCTGGCATGTGATCCTAAATACTTTCTGACGTTTCTTCTTACATATATTCTTACATTTTACCTGACATTCTCTCTGACATCTTATCTGGCTTTCTATACCTGTCTGGCAGACATATATTTTGACATTTATCGGGTCCGGCGGGGGGGTTCTGTTCCGGCAAATCCCTGAGAGTCTGCGAGCTGGCGATAGGAGAAGAACAAGGAGATTCAGAGACCCTCACCTGGCAGCTGGGGAAAAGCAGCTGGAAAAAGATAGGAGAATTAGATGAAAAGAACATTTGCGAGAAAACGAGCCAATGTTATCCAATGTTATTTCAATTTATTTCATGTTGTGTTTTTCTTTGTGTAAAACTACCTTGGTTTCTGTGTCGTGAGCGCCTTGCTCTTGTGGCGTTCTTAGCCGCCCTGCGGGCCAGGTCGACTTGCTGGTTAAATCTCCGAAATGAATGTTGCCGAAGCGACGCGCGTTTCGGCAGCAGGGCAGATTTTTCGACGTCAAATGACGCAGCTGGTGGAACCGGACATTTTTGAAATACGTAAACAATATCAAACAAATATCAACTAATAACATCACCTTAACATACAACATGTTCGAAATTGTGAAAATATATTAGAAGACATGTCAGAGTGATCAGGTTGATGACCTGGCCGTAGAGCGCTCTTATGGTTTGGTGACTTCGTGGTGATGTTGTTTCGAAAACATCCGTGGTGACGTCAAGGCCAACATATATGGGTGAAACACGGTGAAACCAGCTGGATCGCAACTTGCAACCTCTGTTGCGGCCCCCGCAGCCGAAAATTGATGAAATTTGGTTGGGGATGTGCTGTGCAGCGCTGGGTTGGGATATACCTGGATAATCCTGGATAATTATGTATTGATATGTCTGTAACCTATACTGGTAGTTGTGTTTTTTTTGACAAGGAGCACCATCAACTAAGGATTACAAAGCAGAAGGTTGTGCCAGACTACCCCTCGAATTAAGATTTCGGAGTCTATCTCAGATTCTCTCGGTACTTTTGGAAGCAATGAACAGCCTTAGGCTGATACCCCTCTGGTTGTTTAAGATAGCTATGGAAGATGGCCCACTGATGATTTATGATGATTTATGATGGTTTACATATTGATTTACCTATTGATTAAATGGTGTTTTTCCATTTCCAGACTCCATCTGGTTTCGTCGTTTTTTTATCAACATCTATCAACCTACAAGTGCCGGGTTCCTCGCGGGATGCGGGTGCACGGCTGCCGCTTCGATGGTGTAAAAAAAACCAGGCTTTGCTGTAGATTTTCCTTACAACCACAACTCCATTACAACCATCATTTTCCTGCTGCGAAGGCTCAAGTACAGTACCATATTGTTGTCACGTGTGAATTCTTGGCCAAGTTGTGGTCATCGAACCTCGGCCAACTTTAGATGCCTGGCAGCATCCTAAAAGCTAAAACATGGCTTGGGAGGTGGCTGGATCGTGGGAAGCCTGGGAAGATAGTCTTGGTTATGATGTGTGGCTTGGATCAATTGATGACTCATGGTGTTGCCTAGTATTTTCGAGTGGTAAGTTAACTGCTCTAGGATTGGATCTTGTTCTCAAATTCGCCGCAAACCTGCAAGGAATCTAACGTTTGAAACCACCAACAGCAAATAAGGGCCATGTTTTCAAAGTAGAAACAAGATCTTTTCAAAGCCATCCCGGTGGTTCCTATGTTTCAAGACCCCCTTTTGGTTGATGAAGGGGTTACTCGACAGTTGGGCACCAAGAATCATCGCTGGAGTGCTTCACCAAACCAGCGCTGTCCGAGGACCTGAGGACCTGTTGATTTGTGAAATCAGGTGCCACACAAAACGAGGGTCGGACGGGTTGAAACACTGATAGCTGCTATCAATGTGAACCATGGTGAAGCCATGGTGAAGCCTTTGTAACATCCCTAGTTTTCCCAAAATGGATTGTATAAAACCATCAAAACCTGGAAGATTTGAAGAATGAATTGAAGCAAATTGGAGGATTCCATGCGAGACCCCCGTGTCAGGTGGCAAGGCACTCGCAACGCGACTCACTTCGGCATCTTTTTCAGCGCGGAACACGGACTGCGCGCCAGATGCTCAGTGGGACGGGCTTAAAGCTTTCTTTCCTTTGATGGGAAGATTCTGGAAGAATGACTATTATCTGGTTGGTGGTTTGGAACATTTTTTCTTTTCTATATATTGGGAATAATTAATTAATCATCCCAACTGACTAATATTTTTCAAGATGGTTAAAACCACCAACCAGTTATGAATTTACGCTTTGGATCCCTTTGGTAGTTCAACAGCCGTGGAGAATGATCATGTTCAATCATTTTCATAGGCTATAGATACTATAGGTATGTAAATCTTCTGTATAAATGGGCCATGTATGGCCATGTTCATCCATGCACCATGTCAATGTTAACTTACCACCGGGTCCATCGATGATCATCTGGACATATCTGGACGCTGTGCGCAGGTATGGCCGCTGTCGCAGGTGCACCCAGGAAGAGGATGTGAAGGGAATCATTCCCGGCTCTGGATTCGGGAACCATGTTCATTTGCCCAGAGTCGATCATGGTAGGGTGAGTCATAGTTAGTCTTTCCCTTGAGACAACCATCTCAAAATAATGATGAGCCTGTCATTTTCTTTTGCCATCGGCTAGTTTCAGGATGTTTCAGGAAGGTAAAGTACACGTAAGATCTAGTTTCATCAATTTTGATTAATTAGATGTCAGCCCATGCTACGCAAGACGACCAGCTGGAAATTAATGATGCATGTCAACTAGTAGAGTGATGAGCTTCGACACACACACACAGAGCATATGTCGAATATATCATCATATATTATTGCATATTATTCATACATATCTGATTATCTATACATATCTATATGCTGTACATCTCTTACATAGCGGATATCATATGGGTACCGTACTGGGTACCCATATTGTTTAACCCATCTCATCTCTTTTTTTCACATTCCTACTGGTTGTTAAACAAAGCCGCACGCAGCGACTGAGGCAACTCTTCAAGCCCAAGATGACTTGCCAGGACCGGCGTGGAGAAACGTGGAGAAAAAAGCCTATGAAAACGGTATCATCCCAGGAGATTTGAGAAAATTACCCTCTGGTAATTTAACATAGCTATTGAAAATGGCCATTTATAGTGAGTTTTCCCATTAAAAATGGTGATTTTCCATAGTTATGTTAGTTTACCAGAGGGTACTGGGTTGATTACTTGGCAACTGACTGGGCGGACAGAATGTAGGACTGAAGTCATCCATATGGGAGATTATGGGAGAATTCATTTGCTAGATCACTGCGCTGGGTCCACATGTTATTGGTGTTTTTTTTCATCTTTTTCACCTGTGGTTGTGTTGCTGATATTCCTAGAATGCCAGGATATGCACCCCCAGCTACGACTGGCAAAGATCATTCCAGCCTCTGGTACTACAAGATCAAGTTGTCATCCAGCTATTTTCAGCAAAAAAAACAACACACACTCCAGCCATTGGATTTTTATGGATTTTTGGTCCATCCACAGGAGTTCAAGTGGACCTTCCCATAGCGGTGGACGTGTGTTGCGCTCCCATCGTGGTGCCCGACGACGCCTCCGTGCCTGATGCACCGGCGTCGGAGCCGTCGGAAGCCGCGGAAGCCGCACCCGTGGAAGCGGAAGCGGTGCCCGAAGCAGCGCCAGAAGCAGCGCCAGCGGTTGGGGGGCCCAAGGCGATCTCTGGGTGTCCGGTGGTTTCAATCTTTCCATCCCTGATTTCACATGCGGAATCATGCAGGCAATTTACAGGAGCCTGTGGGGGTTGTGATACTTGCAACGATGGTTTTGCAGTCATGTGCAACCCGCTGACTGAACCGTAACAATCAGGTTTGTTGCTGGTAAGCCCCTCGCTGTGGAAAGATTCACCTTCAAGTGACTTATTGTCGAATTCAGATAATGATATTTGTTTCCATGGTTACACGATGGCTTCAACATGCTTAAACTGAAACTATTTGTGGGATTGGGTGTGGCCACAAACCAGCCGATTCAACATGTAAATGTAGAGCCGAGAGACAGAGAGAGAGAGAGAGAGAGTTTTGATTGTGTCACTGCCGTTGTATTATGTTGTATTCACTTTATCCCATCACCTACTATTAGATATTATTGGTGAATATTGGTGATATCGTCCCATTTTGTGCTTTTTTGTCCAATCATCCTTACTTATATCCACGTTGTTGGTTGCTAAGATACCTTCTGTCGTATTGTTAATAAGTGTTACCAGGCGTCATAAATCAGTCCATCAGGCACAGGGGTATCAGTGAAGAGAAAGCATCCATCAATTGCTTCAGTACCAGGGTTTATCTCCATTCTTCGTATATTGGAACCCTGGTAAAATTTATTTTCAATTTTTGTGTACCTACCAAAAATGCAGTCATGCTTTGATCGCAACATGTGATTTGTTATGCATCCTTTCAGGCGATGGGGAGAGAGAGAGAGAGGGAGAGATTTTATGTATCTTTCATGGCTTCATCATTTTATGAATAAATCAGCTATATATTACATGATATCTATATCTAAATATTTGCATATGACATATGCATGCCTGTGTTCGTGTGTTTATCCATTTTAATGATGGCAACCGACAGAGTTATGGAAAAAAACACGTTCAACTTAGACAGGCGGCGCCTGCGTTCGATTTTTCCATAATTGGATTTTTCGCCATAAGGGTTCAAAATATCCCGGAAGTGATCCGAACTTTTTTTTTCCATAATTCTTGGAGGTGGCCATTATTTCCATAATTGATTTTTCCTGTGAAATCAGGGGGCTCGGGCAGATTGACCGGTTTTTCCATAATTATTTTTTTCCATAATTAATGTTTGGGGCTCCACCTGTTGGACATGTCATGGATCCACAATTCAAACGCGTTTTTTTGTGGGGTTATGGAAATATGTATGCAAATGCAAGTATGTAGTATCAACCCAATTGGTGGCTTGGCAAAAAGAAACATCCCGCATATGTATATCAATGGCAGGCTTTAGGGGCATATACCAGATCTTTAGACACATATTTTCTATAATTCAATATTCCCCCTTAAAATGCATTCAAATTGCGAACATCACATGATATTATGTAATGTATATCAATGGAAGACTTTAGGGGCATATACCAGATCTTTAGACATATATTTTCTATAATTCAATATTCCCCCTTAAAATGCATTCAAATTGCGAATCGATGGACATACAGTCACCGACAGAATTATGGAAAAAAACAACAAATTATGGAAACAATAATTATGGAAAAAAAAGGTTCGTAACTTTCCTATCATAGACAGGCGGCGCCTGCAAATTGAAACGATTTTTTTCCATAATTCTGTCGGTTCCTGTATCCATTTTTTATTTAACAGTATAAAACCACATAAAACCCTATCATAAATGGATATGTTTAAGTTTAAATAAAACCACATAAACCCTATCATAAACCCTAACAATTCTCCATGTTTGTTAGTTAAATCCCTATCATACTGATGCCCTCCAGGTGGTGAAGCCCCCCTGCGGGGAGGAGCTCTGGAACTGTGTCCGGAGACACGGCAGGAAGCTCCGGAGCGTCCCCAGCAGAGTTGGTTTTTGGTATAGCAACTAGATTAACTAGATGGAATATTAGATATTATATGATGTTATTAGTTTGGATATTAAATGGGAGATGTTTTTGTGGAATATTAAGTGGGAGATGTTTTTTCCTTCATTTTTGGGATATTTATTATAGTTTATGTAGTAGATGTTGAGAGATATTGGATGATGTTAGGCAACTAATCCCCAATTTGGGATGATTTCCGTTCCTAACGAAGTTTCTCATGGAAAATAACACCCCAAATGGTTGGAAAATAGTATTACTTGGGTATTATACCACCAAAAAATCGAGAAATTACAGTTGTGCTTAACCTGTTCCTAATGGGAAATCCACTCCTTCGGGAATCTATAGGGAATCTTTTTTTTCGCGGTTCCTTAATCAAATCCAAGATTTTGCCACTGCTGATGGTGTGGTTTCTGCCTTTCTGCTTTTCCAGTTGAGGATGATAAGTAATAATTGGGGCTTTGGAAGATCCTGAGAACTATCACCATCTATCACCTCAAAATGCTTGTTGGTGATTGCGCAATGATTGGAATGTCACTGTGTTTGTGATAGCTCTGAGACATGAAACCCAAAAACAGTACTGACTGCATGGACATCACGAGAGACACTCTTAGGCTTCGGTGTTAGTTGTAATCAAACATGGCTTGCTGGAAGATCCTACATTAATAGATGGTTTTCCCATTAAACCGCTATAGAAACTCTATTTTTGATGGACATTTCCCGGCTAGCCGTGTTGATGACACCGGAGGGTATAGTCGCCAATGGCAAGCTATGTTTCGTGGATCTGATGCGCTGTACAAAGATGACATGACCCTAAAGGGAGAAACCACCCAAAATTCTGACTGTGACTAGGGCCAGGGGTTATTGTGTTCCAGAGGGAAACTGCTGGTGTGATATCTCAGGATGTGGTTTGCAGCCACGTTTCTGACCACTTGCTTCCACACATCATCCTAGTTGCTCCTCCACATATATATGTCTTGGCCCTTCGGCCCTTCATCATAAGAGCACTCCCATCAATCAACATGTTTGAGGAGTGGACAGTCTGTTGCTCGATTGGTAGGTTTGGGAATTCCGGGACAGGTTGCGTCACTTGTTGGTAGATGTGTCATCACTGAGGGACACCTGCAAGAAAAGTTTCATGCCCGGTTTTCCCATTTCAACAGCGCAAATCCCTGCTGATACAGGTGGGGCTCAATTCCCATGCCATCCATCATATCCCAAATTTGGTCCGCAAGATCTGAATGTGATATCTTGAGCCTCATCCTTGATATCCTTGAGTTTGTTGATGTTTGTTGCATATTCGTTCTACGTTTATCCTTCCTTCTGGCTGGAAAACAAGTCCCAATGCTTGTTGGTCAATCTCGCCGGGTTTGTGGCTTGTTGTCGCCCTTTTTGAGGGTTGCATAATCCAGCTATGCGTGTGGTTGTTTCCCCAGATGCGTTGCTGACCCCGACGAAAGCCCTTGTTTATGATACCATCTTCTTGATTTGGGTGTATATTTAGCATATATCCTCCCAATATTACCGGCCATTCAACATAGCTATGGAAAAACCACCATTCTTATAGAAAACTATGGAAAACCACCATTTTTCATGGGTAAATCATCCATAAATGCACCATTTTCCATAGCTGTGTTGAATCGCCAGAGGCCCATAGGCTAAGTTCACCCCCCAAAGCCCTGGAGATCTGACGCCTAGGTGAAGGACCGGACACCTCAGCTTGGGCAGGGGGGAAATTGGGCCCTTTTTCAGGTACCGATTTATTGGAGGTACCTACCATGTATAAGGTCCAGGGCCTATGTAAGGGAATATCCCCACAATATACATATATATATAGATATGTTCCTAATGGGCCATGGAGGGAGGAAATGACAGTAATCACCTTTTGTTTTGGAACTTAATGGCTTGCCCTCTTGTGATTTGACGCAGCTGTGAAAAATCACCATCAAAAACAACGGTGTATAGCTGGGATTTTCATCTATAACTGCTGATTTGCCGAAGCTATGTTAATGAACCAGAGAGTAGGCAAAGACAGCTCTTTGTCAGAAAAGCGATTAAGGTTGTGAGACGTTTGGATGTAATTCAGCTATCACTTGGTGATCTTGGTGAGCCTCCTCATCATTTTCACATGTATATTTTGCATGTTGAGTTCTCCAGAAACCAACCAAACACAAAAAGGATGCCCCTTTGACTGGGGATCTTTGGGTGTTTCATTGACCCTTGAGGATGCGCTTGCCCCTTGGATGCATTCTGGTAAACGCCAGGGGGAGTGTTCGCATGGGTTCCATCAACTGGGATGGGATAGATGGGGTATCATCCGACAGGGTGGATTTGACAAGAAAAAATGCAGCAACTGGCAACTGGCAGCAGCCAATTCCACGTGACCCATGCCGTGCTCTGCAGCCTTTGTTTTGCCACTATGGGTGGGTATGCCTGAATGCCGTTGGTCGTTGGGGGCTGTTAGATGTTTCCCTTCAACCAATTCATTGTTGGTCACATCAGTTAAATCCAATTGTTTTAACACAAAATCAACCTTTTGAGGCTTAAATCAGTATGATTACCATGAAATCCCAATTTGCGCTGGTTCAATCCTCATTGTTGCTGGTGAAATCACCATTTTTGCTGCTTGCCAGGTTAAAGTACCACTTGTTGCTGGTGAAACCACCATTTTTACCATGACCTCACCACGAAATTCATCCCCAGCTTCCGGAACTCGCAGGCAGCCGAAGCTTGGGAGAGCAAGGAGCCATTTCGGGGATGTGGCGAACACGGCGAACATCATGTGAATTCTGTGTGTATACCCTCTGGTTATGTCAAAATAGCTATTAAAAATGGCCATTTATAGTGGATTTTCCCATTAAAAATGGTGATTTTCCATAGTTATGTTAGTTTACTGGAGGGTACATTTCATTACATTTCTTCATATGTGAAATGAACTAATATTTATGTATTTCTTTATGATACATGATGATACATGCTATATTTCCAAAATGGCTAGACTTTTTTTTTAAAAAAAATATATAGTCACATATAGGGATTGTATGTGTACATATACTTGCCTCGAATCATTCGTTTCAATTTTAAGTCTATTTGCATATGAACATATAATATACAAATTATTTACTTGTGACATATTATGATATTACCTATAAACGACTGTAATTTTATGTATCACATATGCTGTTCAGCTTTGTTTCTTCTATGAACACCTCACACAATTCTGGATGGTCATGCCCTTGATTGGTGGGTAAATCCATGTTTCCATCATTTTCTGAGTAATTCTTCTGAAACGAGATGAGAACCAAATGAGAACGAGATGATTGTAGCTGATAGTTCCCGTGGTCATTATATAGCTATCTCCATGTTTGTTGGATATATAGGCATATAGGTATACATACACTTAGATGTTGCCTGTTTTTGCTTGCTGGATAGACCCTCAGTTTCTGACTTCTTCAGCAGCGATCTCAGGACCCAAAGGTTCCTTCCTCGCTGGTTGTCTTTGATTGGGTGCCCTGGCTGGATTTTCAATCTCTCCGGGCTCAATCTGTCAGAATCTGTCCCCCCGGGTTTTCCATTTTTCACTGAAATTTGAATCAATATATTTACACACATGTGTAGACATATTGATATATCATAATATTACAATATAATACATAGATATAGATAGATAATTATAGATGAATGAAGCTTCGTGCTGATGACATCATATGACATCCCTCACCCCGAAGCTGGGCAGCTGGGCACTTCAAAAACCTGGGGCCTTCGCCAAGGACGACACCCTCCTTCCCACCTCGGCTCTGGTGGCGGCCAAGCGCATTGCGCCACTTGGGCGAGGGCTGGTGGTGGACCGGTGGACACGATGATAGAACGGTGATTCACTGTATGATACTCATTTACATTGATGTACATGGGTTGAAATAACAAACTGGCATGACATTATAGCCAGCAGAAAGTAGGATATTGTGAACGATGTATAGTTATTATAGGATGTTATAGGCGAGAAACTGTTCAGGCTGTGATTTTTGAAGGATAAAACTGTGGTGTTACTACACCGCATTGCGCCAACGAGGGGACACTAAGCAACAAGTTGTGAACGAAGGGTTTGTGCCGGGTTGAAATTTGAGTGCAGAAACCCTTCTAAACGCTAGAAGAGCCAGAAGATGCGGGTACTGTACTGTAATATGTGAAACTGTCACTTGCTGTTTTTGGTTTGAAGTCGGATATCCGAAAGTAGTGATGACGGGTGACTGTTCCCACGTGGGGGCGGCCCGTCGGATCCAATTAAATAAGTATTTTCATCTTCTCTTGTCTTGCTATATGCATATATATATATATATCTCTCTCTCTCTATATATACACACATATACATACACACACACACAGATATGTATATATATATATACACGTATACGCACATACACGTGCTAGAATCTTCACTCGAATGGCGGTTGATACCTCTAAAACCATCTGTGGTGGCATTCCCACATTTTTTTTCAGTGGCATTTTGCAAGAAACAGCCATATGTATCATGGAAACACCACGGTTTCCTGCATTTTTTGTCTTTGAGGCATGAAAGTCTCCGGAACCCCTAGCCATCTTTCATCGCCCGTGAGGCCTGCACCCGGAGCCACCGTTGCCCCTTGTGCTGCTGCGGCGCAGCTGAGCGACTGGGTGGGGAAACTCAGCCATGGAGCGGAAGTTGAGGTCCCCAAAAAGAGAGAAAACATGAGTGCTTTTTACCCTCTGGTAAACTGTCCCATAACTATGGAAAATCACTAATTTTTTATGGGTAAATCCACTATTTCTATGGCCATTTTCAATAGCTATGTTAAATTACTAGACGGTAAATCACCATCAAATCACCATTTATAGTGGTGAAATCCCATGAAACCACCATTTTTGCCAACATCAATCAACAAACGTGATGATTTCTTCCATCTCACGCCGCGTGCCGGGTAGGAACTTGATGACCTGCTGGAGTCCTGCGCAAAAGCGGCAACGGACGCCCTGCGAAAGGTGGGGCCGCAACGGGAGGATCTCATGCCATGATCAAGTTGTAAGCTGCAGTTATTTACATCATAAGTATTATGTAATCTACATGTAATCTACCAAAGATTGGCTTATTTACATCATGGGTATTATGTAACCTAAGATGGCTAGGGAAATTTCACAGTATCTCGCTGCAAGTTTAGCTTCTTTGGCACTCAAAGATGGTCATGAAGACTGAAATCAGGCCCGAATTGAGTCATGATCACAAGGGTGTAGCGGCGGCACTACAAGTGTGATGACACGAATGGCTATTATGATCCATTATGTACAAGAAGTGGTGTTGGGGGTTCAGAATAATGCTATACATTGTTATGCAATGTAATGCATAGGTCATGCACTGTCATGCACTGTCATGCACATACAATTAGATCCACTTTGCCAGATTCGCATAGATGACACAATTTAGCATTCATAATTACTAGTTTTCTGCACAGATGCGTTGAACAGGAACACCTTTGAAATTGGAAGGGGCAACTACTCATGCGACGAAAAATCATAGCCAGAAAGCTGCCCTTGAAAATACCCGTTGTCCCAGGCCTCAAAGTATGGCCGTGTCGGCGCGGCGAAGTTTTTTTTTGGGGGGAAGCCTGGCTGCCAACCAAACTTGGGGATTTGGGGATGGCTTATATCATCCATTTACCATCCATTTACATGGTGATTTTGGGGATGTTTCATTATTGGGTTTCCCCGCGTTACCCTCTGGTAAACTAACATAGCTATTGAAAATGGCCATAGAAATAGTGGATTTACCCATAAAAAATTAGTGATTTTCCATAGTTATGGGACAGTTTACCAGAGGGTACATAAAATGATGGAAGTTTAGGGTTTGGGAGGTGTGAAGGCAGAAAAATCAACAAAAATCAACTGGATTTCTGATGATTTCTGCCCAGGATGTCTCACATTTCAGATCATTTCAGGAGTTTGGGAGCTAGCAGAGCCCAGTTTTGCGACTTGATATGGCGACTTCAGGGGGACGCTTCTGGACTTGATGCCTCGCCACAGCAGATTTGCAACACTTGGCTCAGCCACAGCGGTGCCAGCACATGATTATCTAACAGAGGTAACCGCCATTGAGTTGCAACATGTTGCAACCTTCAGTGCTTCAGCCCAACGTCCCAGCAGTATGCAAAATCTGAGGTCAAATAACATTTGCACCATCACCCGACCCTTAGTCAACTCAGCATACTCCGCCGGTGTATTGGCACCTCTGTGACCGGGGTCCCCACCGAAACAGGGTGGAGGCGCCCAGGCGCCATGGTGAACATCAGCTTGCTGCAAGAGCCACCAGACCTGAGTCACACAGATTTAGGGCAGCGCCTCAGATGCATTTGGCACGGAGGTACTGATTTGACGGAACCCTGACTCCCAAAACCAACCCATCCCAACCTGCACCCTTCAACCTCACTATCCTCCCAAAAGAATTGCCCCTTCATACTGCAAACTTCCAAGAAAGAAAACTGGTTTACACATGTTTATATACATAAAATTATATAGACCCAATGAACTACTTCGATATATCATGATGTAATATCTACCATAAACCCTATACTTACTTATATATATGTATGTATGTATATATATATATAATCTTCATCATTTATTTACCCCAACTCCCAGCCCGGGTCCCCACCACCCATCCGCCCAGGAACATCCCGGAAGATCCCACGGAGCGCGTGGAGAAGGCCGGGGCCTTGCTGGACAACTTGGGCCGTTCCCTGCGCACCGTGCGCGAATCGGCCAACGAGCTGGCGAACGCCGGCGCGGTGTTGGCGGAGAAGGGGGACCGCCTGGCAGACGTGGCCAGTGCGGAGCCCCAAGGGGATGGTGCTGGGATGCTGAGAATACCATAGGAAAACCATAGGAAAATGGTGGTTTAATGGGATTTAATGGGATTTAATAGTAATTAACCATCAATAATCCATCAATTCTATATGGTAGATATATCCATCAAATATCCCATAAAATCCATGATGGATATCTATTAAATATACCCTCTGGTTATGACTGTTACATAGCCATGGAAAGATCCACCATGCTATTAAGATTATTAAGAACGGTAAACCATAGTAAACCATCTATTTCGATTAGGGCCATCTATACCATGGCGAACTGTTAGTCATAACCAGAGGGTAATGGATGTTGATATATGTTGATATTAGTGAATGGTGGTTCAAATTCGCTCTGAACATGCTGGTGGTTGAGATTTGCCATGAATTACTGTATTCGCTGCCTTGTCATTGGCAGCGTCACCGTGATGGGGGGGATGGTGTAGTCATGTGTAATCCACCAGGAAGCCAAACAATGACCCAATGTCGGAACATGAACAAAATCATTGGTGGGACCCCTTGAAATTGGGATAAATTGGGGTTCCATCTTATTTAATTTTAGGATTTTTAGGTAGGGTCAGCATTTGTCTAGCAGGAAAATCCAGTGGATGGAAGGCGTGGATGGGCATCCTAGGAATTGCACCTGGATGAATAAGTATGGTTTCCCTGATGAGGATTATCCCCGTCAATGCATGAAGTAATCACCATGCATTTATTCCAGGTTAAATATGATTATACAATCGATCGAATGACCGTATATACATTCATATATTTCACTGGGTTGAAACAATCCATTTCGAAATGGGTGAACTGATAAGCGTACGTATGTTAACTAGGATGCTAATGCAAGGTGGGACATGACGTGAGATGCCAAAGAAGTTTGAGCAATTTTTTTAGTGGCCAATGCTGCGAAATTTTGACCGGCCCTTTTTCAGGTTATTTGCGGGAAGCACAAGCACATTCAGGGAGGATGCAAGGAAAGATTGCGGAAATTCTGGAGTTGGTGAAAGGCGCCGCGGTTGGATAAATTGAGCCATCAACTGATGGGATTCCAATAGCCCCTTCCCAAGAATGAGAAGCGGTTGAGACTTCTGGCCCAATCGAAAGTCAACAGTTTGCTTAAAAGAAAAATGAAGAAAATCACCCACCAAGTAGTACGGCATGCTAGTTACGCTTTTGTAAGCTCTGTTTCAGAACCAACCCTGATTCATGGCCTGTTGAACTTGGCCTTTTCTTCGAGCTTTTTGCCAAGGCATGCAGAACAAGGCTGAAGAGTCCAGCGTAAATTGGGCAATGGCAGTCTTTCTTCCTCCACAGTGCAAGGGTGGCCGAAAAGGCCATGGCATCAATGACTTTGGTAGTTTCCTTTGACCTGCAGAAATGTGAAAAAACCTGGTGCCCAAAAAGGGCTCTGCGCGGCCTCGGCGTTGTGCGGCCTATGATCTCCGCTACGCACTGGGGAGGATCTCCCCCAAACCAACGGGATCCAATGGGGTTTCCTGTTCTTCCCAGAAATGAATTGGATACCTCGAATTGCCAAAAAAATGATAAACATACAATCAACTATGACCATCTATGACCCATAGCCGTTGTCAAAACTCATGGTCTTCGCTTGGTTCCCAGGTTTCGTCCAGTGCTATAAGATTATATATATAATGATCACCGCTTTCTAGGTTACTCGGTGGAAACCGCAAAACAGATCAAGCCGATCATCTGCTTGTTGTCATGTCATTATTATTGGCCACGTCCCCATTTTGATACCGCAGCTAAATAATCTCAAATCCTTTTGGTAATCCAGTTGGTTATATACAAGGTACGCATCTCCATTTTGCAATTTTGCTACTGTTGTCTACCCTCCATCAACATGGACATATGACATACACACACACATATATATATATTATAAGTAGGACCATAGGAGCGTTGCTAGCAACCAGGTGGAGACCAGTACAACCCAACCAACATGTATGAACATGTGCTCGGAATCATTCATATAATTAATCCAGATAAATGTCACAAACAGATTCTGTGACCAGCTTTCCAACTTGGTAGCCAGGTGGTCATCATCACCAACTCGGGCTTCGGTTGGGTGCACGAAACAGCGTCACGCTTCATGCCATCGGTCCTGGGTGGGGAAGCCTGGAGCTTCACAGCTTTTTGTTTGACCGGACTGCGGATTAGCCAACAGTTGTGCTGGGGGTTCGAGGACTTGCGAAGTGACAGAGTCTTGCTGGCCATACACTTTCGGCTCAAGTGTGGGTGCGTTTTTGACTGTCAAGACTGCAAAGGCTTAGCCATGGCTCGCTCATCCAAGCTGATCACGCTGTGCGTTGCACTGGTCGCATTCGTAGCACTCCGCAGCGTTGCCTTCCTCGGTGCCCCCGGCCCACAAGCACAGCTTCGAGGAACTCCCCTTGAGATTGCAGCTGGTGCTGCCGTGCCAGCAGTTCTCATGACACCAACAGCCGCCATGGCTGCGGATGGTGGCATGCCTTCGGTGGTTTTGGGAGTTGGCATTCTTTGCATGCTGGCCGCTTTCAGCGCAGTCTCCAGCGTCATCAGTGCTACTGTCACCTCCGAACTCGACTGAGTGCATGAGAGCCTAGGACGAAGCCTTTCTCGGGGTCTGTAGCAGTATGGATGATAACTCGTATTTTTCCTTCGCTGATGTGACTACGTTGCTCAGGCCCAAAATTGGCGCTAGCTTCCAAAGAGATGAACAGATGGCAAGAGTTTTCAAGATTCCTTTGAGATCCTTCGAGTAATTATGTTTGTTCTGATCTCATGCTTTGACTCACCATTCTCTTGATGTACGGTGCATGGAGCACGAACAAAAACATAGCCTTTCGGCTTGTGACCTGTCATGATAGCTTTCGATTATGATGAAAGACACTGAACATATCTGAACATTCATTTCTGCAAATGACTTGACAGGCTTGACCTGATTGGGTTTGACAGAGTCTTGCTGGCCATACACTTTCGGCTCAAGTGTGGGTGCGTTTTTGACTGTCAAGACTGCAAAGGCTTAGCCATGGCTCGCTCATCCAAGCTGATCACGCTGTGCGTTGCACTGGTCGCATTCGTAGCACTCCGCAGCGTTGCCTTCCTCGGTGCCCCCGGCCCACAAGCACAGCTTCGAGGAACTCCCCTTGAGATTGCAGCTGGTGCTGCCGTGCCAGCAGTTCTCATGACACCAACAGCCGCCATGGCTGCGGATGGTGGCATGCCTTCGGTGGTTTTGGGAGTTGGCATTCTTTGCATGCTGGCCGCTTTCAGCGCAGTCTCCAGCGTCATCAGTGCTACTGTCACCTCCGAACTCGACTGAGTGCATGAGAGCCTAGGACGAAGCCTTTCTCGGGGTCTGTAGCAGTATGGATGATAACTCGTATTTTTCCTTCGCTGATGTGACTACGTTGCTCAGGCCCAAAATTGGCGCTAGCTTCCAAAGAGATGAACAGATGGCAAGAGTTTTCAAGATTCCTTTGAGATCCTTCGAGTAATTATGTTTGTTCTGATCTCATGCTTTGACTCACCATTCTCTTGATGTACGGTGCATGGAGCACGAACAAAAACATAGCCTTTCGGCTTGTGACCTGTCATGATAGCTTTCGATTATGATGAAAGACACTGAACATATCTGAACATTCATTTCTGCAAATGACTTGACAGGCTTGACCTGATTGGGTTTGACAGAGTCTTGCTGGCCATACACTTTCGGCTCAAGTGTGGGTGCGTTTTTGACTGTCAAGACTGCAAAGGCTTAGCCATGGCTCGCTCATCCAAGCTGATCACGCTGTGCGTTGCACTGGTCGCATTCGTAGCACTCCGCAGCGTTGCCTTCCTCGGTGCCCCCGGCCCACAAGCACAGCTTCGAGGAACTCCCCTTGAGATTGCAGCTGGTGCTGCCGTGCCAGCAGTTCTCATGACACCAACAGCCGCCATGGCTGCGGATGGTGGCATGCCTTCGGTGGTTTTGGGAGTTGGCATTCTTTGCATGCTGGCCGCTTTCAGCGCAGTCTCCAGCGTCATCAGTGCTACCGTCACCTCCGAACTCGACTGAGTTAGTTGAAAGATTCGACCTTTCTCCAGCAGTGAAGCAGGGCGATGCCGAAAAGTGCTAGCACCGTCCCTCCACCCTTTGGTAAACCAACCTTGCCCTGACAGTTTGAACATTTACAGACGATGATCCCACAAAATGTCTCTGAAACAAGTATGTGTCTCGTCTCAAAAATGGCAAGTTGGTTTACCAGTTGGTCTCTAAGTAGAAGATATACCTTTCGCATATCTCAACCCACTGTCACAGCTCTCAGTTTTTCCCCCCTGCTGAGGTGAATTAGAGAAGGTCCCTGTGATCAGCGCGAGGGCCATCTTCGAATGTCAGGGAGTCCCTGAGCCCTATCGCTGGAAGGTGCTGGGGCCCAGCAGGTTGTGTACTGGGAAATCCCAAGGCAGCTTGGGAAAATCGTCGAACGATTAGGCTGAGGTATTTTGATGTTTTTTCCATGTTGGGTTATGTTTGATCACCAGAGGGTAAGTTGAATGACATCTATTTTTCTATTTGTGATTATTTGTGAATAATGCTAGAAAGATCGAGGTAACTGATGGTTGTGCGGCCTCTTGTGAGGAGTGATAATTTGAGGTGTGTTTTGGGGGAGGCAATGGTAATAGATTGCCATCGGGTTCATCACCGAAAGAAGAGTGCCAGGAGGTGCCAGTCAAGTATATGGGCACGATTCAACATGTAGAATGCTGTGGGGATCAAAGATGTCAGTCATGCCTTTGACAAACACGTGTACCTAAACATTGAATTTCAATCTATCATCAGTTTTTGTCAAGGTTTTGTTCGGTTCATGGTCAGATGGAAGTGTCAGGACCCAGCAGTTATGCATCCAAGTGACCTTACTTCTGTCCTGGAAATTTAAGATGGAACATCAAAGAAAAGACACGTGTTCCACTATGGTTATCGCAGGCTGTGCTTTCGGGACTTCAATTACCCCTTGACAACAAACTTGGGACATCCTGGGACCCTCAAAATCTGGGTTTGAAAGATGTGTTTCCTAGTATTTCTGAACTTGCCCAGGCTTTAGAATGGTATAATTGGAGGGTTTCATTTCTTTCATCCCTTGATAGGTGCTATGCTTCCGGCGCATCGTGGAGTGCTTCTCGTAGGGGGCCTCAAAAGTGGTGACGGTGACTTCATCAGCTCCAGCATTTCATCCACAAATAGTGATGAATTACTCACCAGATAAGGGGAAAGTATGGAGAGAATCACCAACCAAAGTGGCTTGTTGCTTTCCAATCTTTGTTTGTTTGAGATGCAGCCCAGCGCCATCAACAGAAAGCCTCCCGGTAGGCATCCCGGGATCCATGTGGGTGTTATTTTACGTCATCCCAACTATTGGAACATGGTAACATGCCCAATTATAATATATAGATATTATATATATATATAATCATCCCAATATTTTGTGCCTCTATTTGGTAGAATCTATCTGATTATCTGCCCTGCAATTCATCCATAATTTGCTGCACTGCACCCACAATTTAACAGTAAATGGCATAAGAATAACAATGATACCATAGTTGTATCATGATAATCAATGAGTTACCCTCTGGCAATTTAACTATGGAAAATCACCGTTTATATAGTGAATCTTCCCATGAAAAATGGTGATTTCCATAGTTATGTAATAGTTTACCAGAGGGTATATAATATTAATATTCCCATCATATTCCAATGATATTCCCATACCATTATGAACCATTAACAACCACTAATAACCATTTGGGTTCCTAATAACCATGTCATGTATATTCCTCAATGACATCTCTGAGCTCGGCGGCTTGGCTCCAGGTTTGATCCTCGTGGGGAGACAGGCCCCAGCAGCCTCATCTCGATTGGAGATGGCTGGCAAGAGCCGGGGAGCTCCAGGGGAGATGCATGGAATCTATGGTATAGATGGCCGATAGAAATAGATTAAATAGATGGTTTACCTCTTAAAAATTGCGATTTTCCATGGCTATGTAAAAAAATAACCAGAGGAAATATTTAATGGATATCCATCATGGATTTTCTGGAATATTTGATGGATATATCTATATCATATAGAATTGATGGATTATTGATGGTTAATTACTATTAATCAATAATCGATGGGTACTATTAATCATCTATGATGTTAATAGTTGTTGATCTATCATGATCTTTAATGGTCATAGCAATGGTTGATAGTGGTTGATAATGATCATTCATAACGATCATATTTATACCAACTGGATGGCACCAAGCATCGGAACAGCGCAGAGCTTCCCTGCAAAGTGGACTTTGCAAAATCATTTGCTTCCCTATGGTTCGTATACTGTAGTTTGAAAAAAACACCTATGTTTGTCCATTCTCTGTAACTCATTACACGCCATTTGTGTGTGTGTGTGTTTGATATTGTTTGATTGTGTTTTGACTCCAAGTCTTCTTCCCTCAAATCCTATCCCCCTTTCAAAAACTTCGCAAAACCAGTAAGTAGTACTGGACTTGTTCAGTCTGGGTCCCGCAAAGTGTAATTATATACGTATATATATATATATACCCTATGGTGATTTAACATAGCCCTGGAAAATGACCCATAGAAATAGATGGTTTACCTCATAGCATGGTGGATCTTTCCATGGCTATGCAACAAATACCAGATGGTATATCCCATTAAATCCCATTAAATCCCATTAAACCACCATTTTCCTATGGTTTTCCTATGGTATTCTCAGCATCCCAGCAGGAGGGTCACCAATGATGTACCACTGGTTTTTCAGAGACTGATCTTCTGAGGCGCCTGGCAGCCATCATGGCAGCGCAGGACTCCGTCGATCCCATCATTTCAGAAACCACCCGTTGGTGATGCCATGTGGCTATGGGTCAATAGCCATTAAAACAATAGCCATGTTTAGTAGGTAAATCATCTATAACTGGGCCATTTTCATCCATTTTCTATAATTACCCTCTGGTAAACAAACATAGCTATTGAAAATGGCCATAGACATAGTGGATTTACCCATTAAAGATGGTGATTCTCCATAGTTATTATGGGTCAATACCTATGAAATCATACCATTTTGGATGGGGAATGTTCACATCCATTTACTTACCAGCTAAATTTTGATGTGAACAAAAAAGGGGTACTATTGGTTTTGACCCACTGCCATGGAAACCACCCAGATATGGAGGTTTCCTGAGTCATGGGGTACCCCCAAATAAATCATCCATTTTATGGTATGTATTTTCCATGAACAAAAACCATCCAGCTCTTGGGGTACGTCCAGTTTAGGAAACCTCGCGCAGGACACGGATTTGGCTTTGGTGAAGTGCATGAAGTTCCTGGAGCAACCGGGGGTGCGCCTAGCCGTCCTGACGAATTTTTGATCCTGGTTTTGTTCTCATATTGGTTAAAGGGTGGGTCCCGGTTTTTGTTGCAGATGTTGATCAGTTTTAGGGGATACCCAGGGTTACCCTTAAAAAATAGTTGAACTGAGGCTTTTTACTCTGGGTGTACAGAATGCCCGCTGATACTAACGGCTGGTTTGGGATTCTTCTAATTTGATCTCAATCAAATATGTACTCCATTGGAACCAGTTGGAAATCCCCATTGTAATCCTGCTGTATCTTGCTAGAATTCATAGAGAGAGAGAGAGTCATTAAAACCCATCCAATCTCCCGCTTATGGAGACATTTTCTCAGCAGAATGCACATAAAATGGTCCTTCCGACCCTCACTAATTCCCATTGAAACCCCCCATTGAACCCTCCTGAAATTCCCATCAAAACATATCAAAACCACATTGGTCCACCCACTCCTCTCAGATGGACCAGCTAGTGCAGCAGCTGAATCTCTGCTCTCAGATCTTCGCAGGTGGGAGTTTCAGGGAGAGGCGAGCCCACAAAGAAGGATTTTTCACCAACAAAGATCGGGTTTTTATTAAAATTGACACATGATATAACATATTAATATATATTAATTATACATATGATTTGATCAGCAAAAAGTTGGGATTGAACACGGAATAGCAGGGGATTGCAGCATGAACAACGTGAGTTTGACCACTGATGAGAGATTAACCTCACTGACCGGGGATCACAGTGATCATCTCGACAGAGTAAATTTGATCACGACCTCACTGCGACCGAAGCCTGGAACCGTGGGGATGAGGGAAATCATCCCCAGTTAAGGCCTTAATTCAGGTTAGTGAAATATATGTGAAATATTATAATTGACCCAGCACAATTAGATACAATTAGCATTAATTAAACATAATTAAACCATCAAATCGTGAGATGAAATTCCATGACAGATGAGTGTCTAACCAACTTTGATGGACAATGGACATGGGTCAAAATGATCAATCCCCATAAATGATTGGTTTCAGATCCAAAAAATGACCAATTTAGCTGGTTGATGAGTGTCCCGTTTTGGTCCATACGAATGATTATTTTGGTCTTGAGTATATCAGCTGGGCGAGCGAGAGCGTTGTGGGCAAAACCTGGGTGATTCTGAAAAATGGGTGATGGCCGGCCTATCCTTCCCACAGAAAAAGGACATGTGTGACAAATTTGGTGATACTTCTGGGTTGTAAATTGTAGATTCAACGTGGCTGTCAAGGCATGACGGAACCAATACCTCCAATCAACTAAGCGTCCAATCAGTATGGGATACTTTACTTTGAGACTGGCTCAAGATCACTCATTTTTCGCCAGACAATACAGTGACATGTGAGTGATCTTTATTATATATATTCAGTATTGATCATCTGATCAAGGAGTGATATGGAGTGATACTGATTTGGGACATTTTATTGATTATCATAATTTTCTAATATAGATCTATAATATTATAGATCCCTATAGGTCCCTCTAGATCCCTATAGATCCCTATAGGTCCCTCTAGATCCCTATAGATCCCTATAGATCCCTATAGATCCCTATAGGCCCTATAGATCCCTATAGATCCCTATAGATCCCTATAGGCCCTATAGATCCCTATAGATCCCTCAAAATTTAGCTATTTCTCTTTATAGATTTTCATAGATTTTCATCTAGATCCCATCATTTGTTGCATGGGAAGCCCAGTGACTAGTCCTGCGGTGCCCCTCAGCCAGGACTGGTGGCCCATCCCGGTTGGGTGGGGGCCCCAAGCAGCGGGAAAAGAAACGGGACGTCGTTTTGGTTTTGGTCATGGGATTTTTGTATTGGATGACTAAAACCATGTCATTTCATGTCATATCATATCATTTCATATCATTTCATATCATTTTCATATCATTTTCATTATTTTGGGGCCTCACGTCAGTTTTTGTTTCGCATTGACTGAGGGGGTGGGATCAGAACTTGGCCAAGGTCGAAGCCAGCTATAGCTACAATGACGTCGAAGGAGTGGAAGCCCAGCAACGGAGTGGGATTTGCTCCCCAGGATTTTCTGTGAACGTTTGAAAGAACTAAATTAGTATGAGGAAGATTGAGGAAGGAAATGTACTGTATATATCTGTATATAAGTAAGTAACCCATACTTGTAACATACATGTATATAATTGTCTTATATCATCAGTGTGCTCGATTTTCTTGCTTCCATTAAAGTGTCTACTTGTTTGTCGGAGTCTATCCTTGCTGGTGATGTTGTTTTTTGGGTAACGACTCAAGGATTCAATGTTGTTGAGCCGCAAATTTTAACATGGATATGACTTGACTTAAGCAATGCCAATCGGGGCGTGCGGAAATCTTAGATGAAGATGTGTCTGCCTCAAAATAGGGTGAAGTACCGATTTTGATACTTTCATCAGTGCTTTCCCATGCTTTCCCTATATTATACAATGGTATACCGGTATACAGTTGTCATTTTGGGGTTTGAGGGCGTCCTCCATTTTTTGGGGCACCAGGTGCTGCCACCGGGTGCACTGGCCAGCTGGGCTTCAGCATGGTGAGCCAGAAAAATGTTGGGCTAATAGAGGGACAGTGAGATGATCCAATGGGCAGTGACAACATTAAATTATCATTAAATTATATACAACAATACACACACACAAACACACATATATATATATATATACATATTGATGTATATCTATATATATATGTATATGTTACTAATATTTATATATATATATGTATATATGTATATATAAATATATCATAAGTGAATAAAAAAAGGCCTGAAGCAACACATACAAGACAAATTGGAAGCGATGATAGCAAACTGACGCTTCTTTGATAGACTCATTGGCATATAACAGTATATTACATATATAAAGATCATAAAAGATCCATAGGTCAAACTCATGAGGATCTAAAGGCGCTGATCCCATGGGCCATCCAGCGCCGAACGTGGCAGCGCCGGCAGTGGATGGCGGCTTCTATGTGGCAATTCCCAGCTACCAACGGGTGCCTGGGCCTGGGAGTTCATACAGGTTTTGGGGGGAGCATCGCGTGTCTCTTACATCATGTCCCTTACATCATTGCCAACATCTCATAGCCACACACGTCCCACTGTCGTGCGATTGGATATGGTATGATAGGTATGATAGGATCATATAGGATCATTGGATGAAGACCACGTGCGTTTGCTGGATCCCGCAGCTCAGGTCGAAATCATTCAAGAGAAGACTTTGGCCCTACTGAAGCAGCAGGGAGTGCCACGCCATCGAGTTTACATCTTCGTGGCTGATGCCTTGGAGTATGAGACGTATCATAGGGCCATCGGTAGAGATTGGCCCAATATCGTGATTGGGGTGAAGACTCTGTGGAGACAGCGGAATTTCATTACTGAGTTCTTCAAAGAAGGGACTCATATTGTTTCTTGGTTGAATGTTTAGTCAGATTGAGTGGTGTGTGGTGTTTCCTCTTGATGAACCTTTGCACTCGTGGGCCTAGGCAGTTAAGAAACTCCAGCATACTTGTACTCTAACTTAGATACTATACAAGTGGAAGCAATTGAAGCTACGTATGAAGAGTGTTGACTCCAGAGTTCCAGAAATAGACTCCTCAATGGGCTTTATGAACATAGCATCAGGGGGCAGGCATGTTTGTGATCCCCTGATCCTTGCCTCATGTTGTTTCCTATAGCGCCAATCCTTGTTTCTATGTTCAGTAGACGGTGCAGGGTCACAATTTTTAGGGCCACCCTAATTGTGCTCGCATTCTCCCATCTGGACTGGCATCATATATTTATATCATGTACCCTCTGGTAATTTAAGATAGCCATGGAAAATGGCCCATTTATAGAGGGTACATCCCTTTTTGGCCCCTTGAAGGCGATGCCACGCCCCAGGTGTCCATGGATGACGACTTGGAGGGCCTCTTTCAATGCACGCCCTGCGTCCAGGACTTGGGCCGTCTCGACACGCGCCTGGCCAAGCTGCCAAGGGGCTCGCTGCAGATGGTGGTGGAGGATGCCCTGCAGCGCATGAAGAAGTCCGGGGCCTTCCTGTGGGCGTTGAATGTGAGTGACAACCCCTTCTATATGTACCATGGAGTGTCACACAAGAACGGCCTATGTTTCTTGGCGGACCTGTGAGCCCAAATCCACGCAGAATGATATTTGCCCAATGAACATGGCCCCAAACTCCTCGTGAATCCCGCACACCCATGAGGAGTGCCATGTTGCTCGGCAAATTCACATATTTATATAAAAAAGGAAGAATAAACTGGACATGTTGGACATGTGAAATGAAATTATATTGCCATGTTCCCCGCACCAAAGTATATATGTTTGTTTATTTGTATTTATTTATTTCAACAACACGCGCATATTTTTTCCCGGACATTTCAATTCTGATGGTTTTCGGCAAATTTTTGTCCAAAAACGTTTAAATCATATCAAATCAAGTCCCAGTTTAGGAAAAAACCAGCAGCTTCAAAAACGTTTCAAGCAGCAATTCAAAACCCTTTTCGCACCAAATTCTTCATGGTTGATCCCAGTTACAATCTTCAAGATTCAGTAAACAAATCCCAGCAAAGCCCTATTTTTCATGTTAAATGCGCATCCCTTGTGAACATGACATGTTTTCTTTCCGAAGATCACGGTTACCTACATCCCGATATGTCCATACGTGGCCTTGTGTGCTACAGTCCAGTGGGACTTGGCATTTTAGGCTCCTGACATATGAAATTAACCATTGTTAGTAACCATGGAGTAACCATTGCTAACCATGGTTAATACATATATGTTAATATATATATAGTATTATTATACCGTTATATTAACTTATATCAAGCATATGGTCAGTAACATATTAACCATACACTAGTACCCAAGCTTACTCTGCTATTTGACCATCTATTAACACCATTTTAGATTCCTAACCAATTATAAACCACGGTTCGTAAATATGCTTAATCATGAGTAACCATTATTAAACATTACTAACCATGGTTAACTGGTTGGTTTGGAACATGAATTTTATTTTACCATATATTGGGAATGTCATGATCCCAACTGATTTTCAATGATTTTCAGAGGGGTGGCTCAAAACCACCAACCAGATAATCAATCATCATTTACCATCATTAACCACTATTAATCACCATTAATCACCATTATACCATGAGTTAACCATTATTGACCATTATTAACCATTATTAACCATTATTGTCCATGGAAATCCCAATGGAAATCCCCATTAAGCCATCATTACTCACCATTAACCACCATTAATCACCATTAACCAAGTAGGTCAACCACCAACCAGTTAAGCCGACCGCATCCCACGGAGGCAACGGCTTCTTCTGGGGCTGTTTGAATCGTCACCTCCCTGAGCTCCAGCTGCGCTTGGGCGATGGCCACGAGGACGTCGAGCGCTCGGTGCGCTTCTACCAACGCGACGGCGCGCTGCTGCGCTACCGTGGCGTGGTGTCACCAACGAGCGCCGTGTTGTGGGTGGTTAATGTTGGATTATACCAATAGTAATGATTAAATGAATGTAAATGATTATATAGTTTTTACCTGTTTATACCAATTGTAATTAATCATGATGATAATAGTGATACCAGTAATAAACATTGATTAGTTATTGTGTGGTTATTCATTGACATTGGTATGATGCCAATAGTAATAGTAATGGTAATGGTTAGTAATATGTATCAATGCGCGCATCATAGATTTGAATGCTCACATCAAAAATAAGTTTGCCACACGAACGACACTTGATTGGCGCCTATCATCATTTAAATAGTGAAAACAGCCACAAAAAGAGGGATCCTAATTGTGAGACATGCTATATACACCTTGATTGAGTAGGTTGATGGGTTATTTTTGCTTCTATAAAGTGGGGGAACATTCTGCGAATTAAACTTTTTTTTTGGGGGGGGTATTTTGGGGTAGATTTGCCGTGATGTTGGTGCTACGATGTTCTTGGGAGTTCCCTGAGTTCCCCCGAGGTTTTTTGTGTGCCAAGACGCGCTGCAAGACGAACTCTGGCGGCTTGCAATCGCTGCTGAAGGACCGAAGCAGAGAAGAGGAAGAAGGCGTTCGCCGTTTGGTCGCTGAGTTCCCTCGGCTTCTGTACTTGGTGCCCGGGACTGGACGACTTGATCTGGGTATGGGTCAAAATTGGGTACCAGAATAATTGGATGGCTAATACTAGACTACTAGACATATACTAAAATCTATGGGTCCGTAGGGCACAAATTTTGACCCATCCCCATTTATATACGCATGTTTTTCATTTCTTGAGTTTTTACCCTCAGCTGGCAGTGGGATTTGTCATTTTTCCGCAGGACTTACACTATTTTACCTCTTTCCAACAGGGATGTATTTTTGACGCCCTAGTCCCTTGATTTTTTTCTAAGGCACCTGGCTCAAAGCTGGGGTTGAAGTTTCGCTCCAGCATGCATCCAGAACTGATGCAGCAGAATCTGCTCACAGCTGAAGGCTTCAAATTGCTGCAGAGCCGAGGGGAGGTGCACTTGCTGGAAGGTGCTTGCTGGGCAGCTGTGAAGGGGTTGAAACTGGTTTGCAAAAACAAAGCTCTTGGGCCTGAGGGCGATACCAGTGATCAAATCAACTACAAGCTGGTTAGTCTGATACCTTCAGTTGAAGTGTGTGTGTGTGTTCGGGAAGATTGCCCTAATGGATGAAGAAGCGGAATCTGTAATTGCTACGTGAAAAGGTAAAGAGGCGTTTGGGCCCACAATACTTACATGTGGAATGTGGGAATTCAAAAGGGTGTACACTCGAAAGTTCGTAGTTAGTCTCCGTCAACATATCATCAACTGACCATCCGCTTCAAGACCTTCGCGCCTCAATGCGCGAAGTTATCCAGTCCCATCCCGAAATCTGTTCTGAACTGTTGGGCGGCGCCAAGTTTCTGGCAACGCTGGATCCTTTCATGTCAAAATGGACTGATAGCAAAGTTGTTTTCTCTGCTGTTCATTGCACTCCCCTGCCTATTCTGTATATTCCGTGCTTTTTGAAAGCGCTGGCCGCCAAGTTAAGGAAAGGTCGAAAGGCTCTGAGTATCATCAGTGGCACTGTGGACAGATGCACCCAGAAAGCTGTTTGCCTTCGCTTGGGCAGCGATGGCCCTGCCAGTTCTCGAGGAGATTTCTTGGGCATCACCTGCGTGGACTTTTATGCCAAGATTAGCACCTTGGCGCAGCGCCGGGGGTAACACATGAAGTCAACAAGGCAGCAGAGGATGGAGAGGGGTTCTGTTTAGAACATGTTTTTTTGGGCCCATGGCCTTTGAATAGTTCCAGCTCAGCCACACTGTTCAGTTGACTTGCCATCCTTGCAAGAAGTTCTTCTTTGTATTTACCATGGAATCACGAAACAATTGGGATTAGAAGAAGTTTTCGCTGTTTGGGAATGTTTGGGACTAATCATTTTGAGGAACCTGTATCAAATTCAGGGCCCATTGCTGCTGGCAATTCATCCATCGACACTTCACCACAACCAACCACAACTGTAATCCCATCATCACCACCATCACCACAATCACCACCATCACCACCATCACCACCATCACCACCATCACCATCATCGTCGTCATCATCATCATCATCATCATGATGATGGAATGACATTGTTATTATGGATATCATATTCTGAAATCATGCCACGCCGCTGTGCCAGGTGCTTCCGAGTTGCAACTCTTGTGGCTCCCAGAGGCCGCGTCCAAGGCCCTCGGTGTACCGCATCGCACCTGGACCCCCCAGCTGCAGCAGCTGCTGCAGCTGCCGGAGCCAGGGCTTCAGCCGCGCCTGGAGCCGCTCCCGGAGCAAGTCACGGCTACAGCCACGCCCCGGGGTGGCTTTCTGCGGATGTTGCAGGGGTTGGCTGGAAAAAAAAGGCGTGGTTGTCCAGACATTGGAATTTACTTTCGAAATCTTGAGGTTTAATCCCGATATCCCATTTTTTTGTTGGTTATTGCTAGGGAAAGGATGGGTTTCTATGGTTTTATCAGGTTTTATCCACTGTGAGATTTTGGGGCATCCATGGGCATCCCCCATTTTCGGATGGACACATGGGAGGGGATGTAGGCGTTGAACATTAATATTATCAGCATCTATCAAAAACTATAGGTGAATAAAGATTTGATAGGATAATGGATAGATGTTGATAGTTAAGGGACATTGGTCGCTTGTGACCCTAATCACTGTTTCTACGTTTTGAAGTAAAAAAGATAGGGTCACAAGTGACCAGGTGTGCTCGAAGTCCCACACCTGCCACACGAAAATGGTGCGGCCCCTTTGTGGTCGCCTGTGACCCTATTCGTGCCCGAAGCATGATTTTTGGAGGAAGTCTCGCAGAAAAGCTTCGTTTTTGAGTTTCGTAGCTTCATTTTTGAAGGAAGTCTCGCAGAAAAGCTTCGTTTTTGAGTTTCGCAGCTTCATTTTTGAAGGAAGTCTCGCAGAAAAGCTTCGTTGTAGAGCTTCGAAGCATCATTTTTGAAGGAAGTCTCGCAGAAAAGAGAGCTTCGAAGCTTCATTTTTGAAAAAGCTTCGTTTAAGGGCTTCGAAGCTTCATTTTTGAAGGAAGTCTCGCAGAAAAGCTTCGTTTAAGGGCTTCGAAGCTAGGTTTTTGAGTTTGGAAGCTTCAGTTTTGAAGGAAGTCTCGTAGAAAAGCTTCGTTTTAGAGCTTCGAAGCTTCATTTTTGAAGGAAGTCTCGCAGAAAAGTTTTTGTGTTTGAGTTTCGAAGCTTCATTTTTGTAGGAAGTCTCGCAGAAAAGCTTCGTTTAAGGGCTTCGAAGCTACATGTCATTTATTTATCTATCTATCTATCTATGTATCTATCTATCTATCTATCTACCTATCTAATTATCTATCTATCTATCTATCTATTTATCTATCTATCTGTCTATCTATCTATCTATCTATCTATCAATCTACCTCTATCTATCTATCTCTCTCTATCTATCTTGTTATCTTATCTTATCTCATCTTATCTCATCTTATCTCATCTTATCTTATCTTATCTTATCTTATCTTATCTTATCTTATCTATCTATCTATCTCTATCTATCTATCTTGTTATCTTATCTTATCTTATCTTATCTCATCTTATCTTATCTTATCTCATGTTATCTTATCTTATCTTATCTTAACTTATTTTATCTTCTCTATCTATCTATCTATCTATCTATCTAATCTAATCTAATCTAATCTAATCTAATCTAATCTAATCTAATCTATCTATCTATCTATCTATCTCTCTATCTCTCTCTATCTCTCTATCTATCTATCTCTCTCGCTCTCCCTTTCTATCTTGTTATCGCTGTATCTCTTTACCTCAACTTCTAAAAACGGTCCGAACATGGTGTGTTTTGTACATGTTGACTCTCTCTCTCTCTCTCTCTCTCTCTCTCTCGCGTTCTATCTCTTAATCTCTCTATCTCTCCATCTCAACTGCTAAAGGCGGTCCGAACATGTTGGTTTTTGTGCATGTTGACTTCGAAATGGACGTCACGCCACAACGGCGTGCAATTTTGTATTTCTCATCTGGGCAGCTGGCTCCGCGCCCGCCGCTGTAGCGAGCTTACTTGTCGACCCTCCGGAGCCACAAGGCATTGGAAAACACTACCTTTTGGCTCCTCTGCATCTTCTTTCTTCTGACTCGTTCTCTTCTCTGATCTGCTCTCTTCTACTCTTCTCTTGTCTCTGCCTCTTCCCATCTCTGCTTTTCATCTGCCCATATTGTCGGAAGTTTGATTTCGAAACTTCCTTCGATAATGCAAAATATATTCACGAAGAAAGTTATACACAGACAAACTCGCGGCCAGATAATTATACAGAAAGTTGCGGCCAACCTTAGCAATCCATGCGTCGGTGATGCACTGAATTTCACCACCATTGACAATGGTATAGTATGATAGTATACTGTTATATCCATGCATGTCCATCTATTTGTCCATTAGGGCATTAGGGCATATCCATTCACATTGTACATGGGTTGTACAAGTCTCGTGACCTTCCAATATGTTGCACTGTGGTGCTCAAGTGATTGCTGAAATCCTGGGAGAAAGATTAGTTTGTGAAGTTCATGCGCGCACTTGCGCTAAAGAACTTCCAAATCGCATGTGCCAAGTTGCAGTCCTCAATTGTGCCAAATTTGGTATTGTGTCGTCCGCAGTGGCATTTTGCCAAGGCAGAAGGTGGGTGCAGCATCACGTAGACAAGAAACATATAGTTACGTATTAGGCTTCAATCTGCTTCATGTCGTATCACCGTAACGAGTCAAGTAATGATGTAAGTAGAATGATCCCTCCCCCCTAACCAAACCCTAAATGGCTGAGTCAAGTAATGATGTAAGTAGAATGATCCCTCCCCCCCAACCAAACCCTAAATGGCTGAGTCAAGTAATGATCTAAGTTGAATGATCCCTCCCCCCAGCCAAACCCTAAATGGCTGAGTCAAGTAATGATGTAAGTAGAATGATCCCTCCCCCCCAACCAAACCCTAAGTGGCTGAGTCAAGTAATGATGTAAGTAGAATGATCCCTCCCCCCCAACCAAACCCTAAATGGCTGAGTCAAGTAATGATCTAAGTTGAATGATCCCCCCCCAACCAAACCCTAAATGGCTGAGTCAAGTAATGATGTAAGTACGATGATCCCTCCCCCCTAACCAAACCCTAAATGGCTGAGTCAAGTAATGATGTAAGTAGAATGATCCCTCCCCCCCAACCAAACCCTAAATGGCTGAGTCAAGTAATGATCTAAGTACAATGATCCCTCCCCCCCAAACAAACCCTAAATGGCTGAGTCAAGTAATGTATAACCCCTCCCCCCCCAACCAAACCCTAAATGGCTGAGTCAAGTAATGTATAACCCCTCCCCCCCAACCAAACCCTAAATGGCTGAGTCAAGTAATGATGTAAGTAGAATGATCCCTCCCCCCAACCAAACACTAAGTGGCTGAGTCAAGTAATGATGTAAGTAGAATGATCCCTCCCCCCCAACCAAACCCTAAATGGCTGAGTCAAGTAATGTTCTAATTTGAATGATCCCTCCCCCCCAACCAAACCCTAAATGGCTGAGTCAAGTAATGATGTAAGTACGATGATCCCTCCCCCCTAACCAAACCCTAAATGGCTGAGTCAAGTAATGATGTAAGTAGAATGATCCCTCCCCCCCAACCAAACCCTAAATGGCTGAGTCAAGTAATGATCTAAGTTGAATGATCCCTCCCCCCCAACCAAACCCTAAATGGCTGAGTCAAGTAATGATGTAAATAGAATGATCCCTCCCCCCCAACCAAACCCTAAATGGCTGAGTCAAGTAATGATCTAATAAAAACATAATCCCTCCCCCTCCCGAATCCCTCCCCCCAACCAAACCCTAAGTGGCTGAGTCAAGTAATGATGTAAGTAGAATGATCCCTCCCCCCCAACCAAACCCTAAATGGCTGAGTCAAGTAATGATCTAAGTTGAATGATCCCTCCCCCCCAACCAAACCCTAAATGGCTGAGTCAAGTAATGATGTAAGTACGATGATCCGTCCCCCCTAACCAAACCCTAAATGGCTGAGTCAAGTAATGATGTAAGTAGAATGATCCCTCCCCCCAACCAAACCCTAAATGGCTGAGTCAAGTAATGATCTAAGTTGAATGATCCCTCCCCCCAACCAAACCCTAAATGGCTGAGTCAAGTAATGATGTAAGTAGAATGATCCCTCCCCCCCAACCAAACCCTAAATGGCTGAGTCAAGTAATGATCTAAGTTGAATGATCCCTCCCCCCCAACCAAACCCTAAATGGCTGAGTCAAGTAATGATCTAAGTTGAATGATCCCTCCCCCCCAACCAAACCCTAAATGGCTGAGTCAAGTAATGAT